TCAAACATCGTTATAACAGTACTATTTATTCTATATTTTTGAATGTTACAACAAAATACTGTTACAGAAAACATATAATCTAACATATTATAAAAAATTGTTTCTAAAAAAAAATTTAATCATTATAGTGAAATGGTCTCGTAGAAGATGGTTAAAATATGCAATAACATTTATGCCCTTCAACTTTGGATGTGCACAAATAGACACTTAAACTTGTATAAAGTTGAACAAATAGACACACATGTCCTACATGTTATTTTTTGTTCTACGTAGTGTCCTACGTGTATTTTATCATGTAGGTCTCATGTGTTTATTTATTTAAAAGTTGAATAGTTAAAGTGTCTATTTGTGCATTATAAAAGTTGGAGGTTAAAAATTGAAATTTGAAGCCAAATTTAGGGTCCAATATATGTATTATGCCAAATAGAAAGTATTATTTTAAAGTTGTAAATAATAATAGTGTCATATAAACTGAAATAGATGGTTCAATATTTCTTGTTATAATAAAGTTTGGTTTACTTTTTATTTATTACTAAAAGTAACTTAATTGACAAGAGGAAGTTGATCGGGTGGTAAGTATCCTTCATTTTTAGTCTTAAGATTATGAATTCGAGTTACCAAGAAAGCAAAAAGATAGAAGCTCCCAGGGAAGGGAGAGGAGTAAAAAAATAAAAGAAAAAAAAAGTAACTTGAATAAATATATATAGAATTTAACTTATAAATACTGAAAACGTAAAAGCACTTCATTTTTAATTTGATATAATAAGTAACCCATTTTATTACCATACTTACTAATTCACTTTTTATCATAATATTATCAGTGTATAGAAATTAAACTCGAAATACCTGTAAACACTTGTAATAGGCAGTTCCAGGAAAATATAAAGGGAAAGAAATTAATCCCTTTATAAAAGCTACAAAATTCTCAGACACATTTTCTGTTGAGTTCTCGTAATCAAAATAAGTTTTTTTCCAGTTATATCAAATATCATCTGCAAAAATAAATAAAAAATATATATTACTATATTTGAATTAAAATACCATATGCAAAAAAAAAAACATACATAAAGGTACAAAGCTAGATAGTTTTTTTTTTTATTATTATTATGTTAGTGAATTTTCATGTAACAAAATACATAAAAGTCGAGTGATCATCTGTGAAATTAGCTTAGCGGATGCTTCCTTCATCTCAACACTTGTTTGTCTTGACCATCTATTTAAGTTATTATTTGCAATTTTTTCAATCTCAGGCAACATATTTTCAAACTTTCAGGTCCAAAAAGATTTAGCACCATATTTTTCAAGTATTTGTACATAAAACCATGTAATGATCCAACATTTTGTCTTCCAAAAATCTCTGTGAAAGTATATGGATACCAACTTTGAAACAATTTCCCCTCTTGTTGGAATATAAAGTAATTAAAATCAGGATCTGTTGATACTATGACTAGACGTCCCACCAAACTAGTTCGAAATATCGGTCCATACCTGATTCAGAATTTAGATGTTGTGAGTTTCATCATATATGTTATGTGCTTATATATAAATTTCAATTACTTCAAGAATTAATTTGATATAAACATTCGATACAAATATTTTAATATTAAATTAGTTAATTTACCTTTGCATCCTCTCCTTCACAAAAGGAGAAATATCAAATGATGTATTTGGTGCAAAGAATGGAATAGTCTCACCAAGTAATGGCCAACCCATTGAACCTGGTGGGAGTTTTCCATTGCATTTAGGGTTCCTCCAATAATGTAAAATAACTATAACAAGTAAAGTTCCAATAATATAAATACCAAGTGACAACATTTTCTTGATAATATATATTGAGTATGTAGTAGATTAAAGAGAAGGAAATGGGGTGGTTTATAATTTTAGGAAATTATGGGGACTATAAATAGGCAGTGGAATGATGTACTATTTTATCTTGAGTTTGTGCCTTCCGATAATATTTATGTCCTCCAACATTGAATAAATAACAGTCTACTCTTAAATTTGTATAGAGTTTAATAAATAGACATATTGTGTCTACTTGTTAAATTTTATATAAGTTTAAGTATCTACTTGCAGACACCTAACCTTACGCATATTTATTTTGGGAGCAATAACACACAAAGTTGAAATACATAGATGATAGTTAGTTGATCAAACCAAGTTAAAAGACACATTTATATACCCTTCGAATGGCTCCGTTATTTGAACTTAGAACTTCCATGTTGGAGGTTTCAAGGTCGAAACTCCTTGCCAGCGAAGGTAAGATAATGTTATAGAACGTTTAGGATTAGAGAAATCAAGGATAGTATTGAGAAAATTTATGTTGAGTTACAACCTACTTATATAGGAGAGAATTGTAAATTTCTAAGTTAATTATAGGCATAATACATAAATATGCCCTTTAACTTGGCTTCGAATCACATTTATGCCCTTCATCTTTGGGTGTGCACAAGTAGACACTTAAACTTGTGTAAAGTTGAACAAATAGACACGCATGTCCTACATGTCATTTTTCGTCCTACGTGGTGTCCTACGTGTATTTTGCCATGTAGGACTCATGTGTTTATTTATTTAAAAGTTGGATAGTTACAGTGTCTGTTTATGCATTATGAAAGTTGGACGTCAAAGTTAAAATTTGAAACCAAATTTAAGGTCTAATATACGTATTATGCCGTAACTATACTTGGAGTCGTATTACAATACCTATTATTATTATTATTATTATTATAATAATAATAATAATAATAATGCAATTATAAATAATCTAAATCCTAGTTATAATATAATTTTAGTCATAATATAATTGTAACTGTAATCTAATTTTAGTCATAATATAATCCTAATTAATATAACTAGTCTAATCCTAGTGTGACTCTAATTCTAGAGCAGTGTTGTAAACTCTGTTGGACCTGTTCCTTTGACATATTTCAATCATCACCTTCCTTCTTCATTAATACTTGTTGTAGATACATCAGTTAGTTGCTTTGGAACCGTTTATTTGACATGTTCCAATCGTCAGCTTCCTTCTTCTTCAACAAATTTATTTTTTGGGTGGAGCTTGCTAGTGTGGATCACCTCTCCAGTATTATTTGCGAGTCATTATATAAGAGCGATAATTTTACCTTGTACTCATCCAAAGAATAACGATTGCAATTTTCCCTTGCCATTAAAAAACACATTATTCAAAATTTGTTAGCAAATGATAATCGATCTATAGATGACAGAAATAACGATAATTTTTTGAAAATATAATACTACTATTAATTGTCATACTTTAGTTTTCGTTAAAGCTTGATATTCTTTTTTACATAAGAAACAAAACATACTAATAATAATGTTACTCTTATAAGACATTTTGAAAATAATTGAATTGCACAATGGACTAAATTTAATATAAATGTTAGAAAAATATTTTATATTATCCTACACGAAATATGTATTCTCTCTCAATATACAAAAATCGTTATTTTTCCTTCAAATTAGTTAGGTTTCTACACCACTCAATAGGCAGAAATAATTATTCAACAATTAGGTAGGAGTAATTGCTATTAGTAGATCACATACTATCAAATCGGGCACGGTTATATTAAATGTCTGTATTTTATATATCTGATCAAAGTTTTATTAATTTTCAAAGTTAAGCATCTATCGACATATAATAGGAGAAGAAAAAAGAGATACATATTAGCACTATCTTAGTCCGTGTAAAATTTTAAGGAACAATTTCAATTGGTGGAGAATTTTAAGGAATTATTTCAAATTTTAAATTTTAAAAGCTGAAAAAATTTTTTATATGAAATAACAAATATTTAATTCATATTAAATGTTATGATCATAGTTTCCTTTAATTGTAATTCTCAACAAATGTTTTACGTTTTTGTCATCTGACAAGACTCATTATTTTCTTTTCAACTTAAATAAAATCTCTCACCTTCATTAGGTTTTGAATTTTGAATTTTGACATTACCCTCCCAATTGCAAAATCAATATTTCAGGTAACTACCCAAATTTTGTGCAAATCAAATTTATATTTGTTTTCTTTGTATTCTGTACAATGTTTCGATTTCATTCATGAACTTTCATCTTCTTTACCTGTAGATCCTTAATTTAGTAATGTTTTATTTGTAAACGTTCTGTCAATAAATATGTTAAAAACATAAAGTCTTTTAAACTAGATTGTTTCTTGTGAGAGGAATGGTTGAATGATCAACAATTTTCCGTTAAATTTTACGTTGATTATTATGTATTTTGGTAAGCATTCACCGAAGTGTGAGATTCATAAATGAAAATTATATGTATTGATGTTCTGTTCATAGACGTCAACATTCGATTTTCTTGGATACTCCTTCTAAGAGAATAATATTGTTCATTTTTTGGTTGAACGGTCAACCCATCCCAACCCGTGGCCCGCTTAGGGCTGGATTAGACCGTTATTTTATTGGCCCTTTGACTAAAAGAGCCAGTTCACCTCAACCCATTTAACTCTCTAGCCCGTTAGGGTAGGGGATAGATTGGGTTGGATTGGGCCAACCCATTTTAACAACTCTAATCACAAATTAAAATATAAAGGCGGATCTAATTCAACAAAGAAGAGAAAAGCAAAAGTAATTGATTCTACAAATGATCAGTCAAAATCATTTGAAAACATTGTCCGTGACTTAGTGGAAGCGGATGAATTTGAAAAAGTTAAAATATATGTATAAATAGTAATTATTGAGTTCTATTTTGTGATTGTATAATAAGCTCTTTTGTAATATATGTAGTAATACTTTCTCATATTTATTATGTTTATTTGTTTGTTTTTACATATTCGTTTAACTTTTTGATTATTTGTTTGTATACATCATTATCGTCTAGATGAATTTCCTTTATACAATTATATGTTGTATAATAATTAATTTATATATATATATATATACTAGATAGGCATGTGCCCGTGCTTACTTACATATATACAATTACATGTGCAACAACCCTTTAGCAAAAGGAAATCTAATTAATTTAATTCAACGACATCTAATTCAAATATAAAGATTAAAAGTATTACATGCATTAGGCAACTTTAATGTTGATCTGATAAATATACTAATGCAGCATATTTGATTAAACAAATAATTGTTTAAGTTCATATGCACTTTGGATCTAATTATATTTTTTACATACATTAGACAAAAATATATGTGCGACTTAAAGCTTCTAACCACTGTTACATGATAAGTTTTTGAACCTTCTCATGTTTTGACAGATTATTTCCAGTTTCCACCTTGGAAACTTGCTTCAATTGACTCAAGATAACAAAATCTGATTCTATATTTGAAGAATAACACAACCATCTTCTTTTGAGGGCTAAAAATCGAAAGCATTCCACCTAAATATATCACACAACTTGAACAAACTGGATAATAATAAAGTAAAACACATTAATCAAGATACAATTTTCAAAAAGTAACATCACAAACCATAGCACTCCTGCATACTCTTTAGATTTAAATGGACCACAATGAGGATTTTAATTGTCTATTAATCTTTGAACCCATTAGCGAGTCCAGTGGCAAGTAATATGAGGAAAGGAAGACATAAATTAGCTATCATGATAGTGCCATTGGATATTAAGCTATATCACAAATGCCAATATAAAGATGATGGTATCAAAATAACTTTTCTCGAGTGTTTACTGCTAATTAAGGGCAAAATTTAATTGTCTCTGATATAATTTGTAAGATTTGGGACTTACCATTACATGTACAATTGATCCTTTGTCACATACATATTAGATGTAACATTTGTGGAAGCTTATAGTGTATCCATGACTAAGAGTATATGCTAATTATAACCTCACAAATATTTTTTTTTAGTATAGATTCTTATTCTATGATACGAAATAAGGAAATTAATGGATATAATCAAGAATGACTATATATTGGTTGTTCAATCAAAACCTATTGATGGTCTTGGCCAACAGGCTCCTCACAAATTTCCTTATTGAAGTACTCTAGTCTTCAGATTCAAGGAAAGTTTTTTTGAGGTTACCATACCTTTTTGGTGAGAGACCGATGCATAGTCAGAGCTCTCCATTTGTCGTATGTCAATCAAGAAACCCCGACTTTATATGGTACATTGTACCTCAATGTAGTTCTTACTGAGTTTAAAGCTAACTGCAGTTCAAATACAAATTCAATTTCTAATTATTAATGAGTAAAGAAGAGAAAAAAAAGATAGCTATCGTAAATTAGAATAGGTAAACTTGAAAAAATAAAGTTGATAAATGCATACATAACATAAACGAGAGAGAGAGAGGTGGAAAATAAATGAACTTGAATTTTCAATATCTACATCTATTATTGAAATAGAAATAGCAGAAGAGCAGAGGAGTTTTGAGGAGACGAAATGAATAGACCTAACTCATAACAATATGAACTGTGGCCTCTTGACAACTCAACCATCAGGATTCAATAAGATCTACTCAAATATGGTTGCTCTATAAGAAACAGACATAAGCCAACTTCTTCAGACAGTTGTAAGCTCACGGACACAACCATGAGTATAAGGCTCATATACCTTCTCAAGGTATGGGAATGACAACAAATATCCATGGAATTGGAAGAGGTGAGGGATAATCCATTTATCTTTGGGTTATATAGTTCAAAAATTACAAGAACAAACAGATTGTATTAAAAGATCCATAATATATCTTTTAAAAAAGTGCTAAAATCAACCGATGAAAAAAGTTGTGATCTTTAGTGATAAAGAGGAGCATATCTTTTTAGTAGTAATCCGGCATATCAACTTAATAGTTATTCATTTAACAGTTCCCTTCTCTTGAATAAGCATTGATTCTTTGCTTTCAAGTTCATACTTAAATCATATATTCAAGAATCAAGAATTAATTTCAAATAACATATTATCGAACTTATATAAGGTTGCGTATACACTATCCTCCCCAATCACCACTCATCAAATTACACTGAATATGTTGTTGTTTGATAAGAAGCAATAAAAAACTTCAACTGTTGTGGAATATTTTTTCTAGAATTGAAAAGAAAAAAAACATATTCTTTCACTCAGATACGATACCAAAAAAACTGAAACTGTGCAAAACGACTCTTTTGGGCAATAAAAGAGAGAATTTTGATGCTATCTCCTGCAACAGATTTTCTACATAGAGTGTAGTTAAAGGGGTCTGCTCAGCATTTTTAACGCCACAAGTGAAAGTAGGGCTCATCTTCCAAGAGAACACGAGGAGAGGAAAATTTCATGAGATAATCTAACCAGCAAATTCAATCCGTTCATGCAACGTTTGAATGCAATATGGTCCTTCAGCAGGAATAGTCATATCAAGAATTTTATCTGCCTAGCCTGTAGAAATAATTTTTTTTCAGGGAGAAGAAATAATTGATGATAGACTTTCTTTCTAGTTGAATTTATTACTTACCAGCCAGCGTACTCCAATCTTAACAGCCTGTTCATATGGCTTCTCAGTGTCCCAAGTCTCGAACGTTGCAATTTGATCATTATGTTTCTCAACCAGTTCAGCCAAGTGCAACATACTTAGTCAATCGTTATGAATGCCGGAAATTGTTATGATAACAAACTTCTGCAAAACCACTGTATTCTTTAGAGAGAAAACTAATTTGTACCGATGAAAAATCAAAGAGAACATACGAGATAGAGTGGGTAGAATAATAACCACGGTATCGATGAAGTCAAGTTATGAAATTGAAAAATTTAAGTTTGGATGAAACAAGTCTTCTGGAAATTCTTCATTGTTGGAAAGAAAAATGACTTCACGAGTCTTCTAGAAAGGCCAAAAAGCTAGTCATAAAAATTTGTCTTTGACCAAAATGACAAATTTGCCCTTGTATATAGTACAGAATATATAAACAAAACTATTACATATATACATAAATAAATTTTATGCATATATAGAAAGTTCTATCATATTTACCTGAATATGAGTTAAATAGTAGAACATAAGTTAATATAGAATAAAAAGTAATTAATATGATAGAACTTTCTATATATGCGTGTGCATAAAATTTCAGGTAAAAATAATCCACATGTAGCTGAAATTCTGACACGATTGAACTTTAATTATATATTAGTATATGTTCTCGATAAATTAATTTCATAAAATATTAAATAGTTCAAATATTTATAAGTCTCTGTCTTTTTGATAAATTTTTGATAAAAAATAATATTAATAAATTACTTATTTAAGCTAAGAGCAATTGGAGAGAGTGTAAATTACTTATTGGTATAAATTAACAAACTATATTTACATGCTTATTTATTTATAACTTTCCTTTTAACTTAGAATTTAAAAATTTAATTATTTTCTAAAAATTAAAAAAATAAGTAAAATATATGCATTTATTTGTTATTTTATCCTTGTATTTGTATATATTTTTAAAAATAATAGTATAAATATATGAATGATTCTAACTTAATTCTAACTTTAACTGTAACGACCCTTATGGTCGTTTAAAGTACTAGAGCTTTTATTTCATAATACATTTCGATAGATTCTAAATGGATATCTTAAACTATTCATAACTACAATGATAAAATTAATAGGATACTTTTAATAGTTTATTTAGTTTATGGTTAAGGAAAATAACATTAGAATTTACGGTGGACCACTTTTACTATTTTTATAATTAGTCTTTTAATAATTAGGATAGTACACAATTTGTAGAAAAGAAGAAAATTAAAAGAGAGGCGCACAACGAGATAAGAAAAACAAATTGAAAAGAAGAACGACGAACAATATGTAAGAATTAATTGCCTCAATCACTGCATTTGTTTATATACATATATGTCATATTATCATTAATTTATTATTACTATTATTAATTATATTTTATTTCAAAGTTGAGGGAATAGGAACCCACTTGACCTTTTGTGGGTCCGCCCCTGGTCAAAACCTTAGCAATGAAGCTAGTTGGTACCGAGGGGAAAATATGTCCCTTTTCAAATTGAAACGAGCCTTAGAGCAGGTAAAATTAAATTTTATCGATTTTTGTGTACTATATTTCATGGATTTTTGTGATTTAAAATTTCGGCATGATTTTGACCAAACTCTTTCATGGACGTCCATTAAGACTTTACCAATGAAATTAGTTGGTTCGAGGGGCAAATCAACCCGTTTTCAAGTTCAAACGAACCCACGTAGTTAAAACTAGATTTTACCAATTTTATGTACTAAGTCCATGAATTTTTGGTAATTCGAAATTTCAGCTTGATTTTGGCCGAATCTTTTCATGGATGTTTGTTACCTTATTAATGGAGCCAAATAGTCCCAGGGAAAAATTGATCTATTTTAAAGTTCAAACGAGCCCAGTTCTGATAAAATCAGATTTTACCGATTTTGGTATACTATAGTCCATTGGTTTTCGGTGCTTCAAAATTCTAACGTGATTTTGGCCAAAATTTTCCATGGACGTCCAATAAGACCTTAACAATAGAATCAAATGTTCCCGAGGAGTAATTCGACCTATTTTCAAATTCAAACGAGTCATAGAGTAGGTAAAATCAGATTTTATCTATTTTCGTATACTATAAGTCATGGATTTTGGTATTGGAATTCCGACGTGATTTTGGCCGAATATTTTCATGGATGTCCATTAAGACCTTACTAATGGAGCTTGTTGGTCCCGAGGGGCAAACCGACTCATTTTCAAGTTCAAACGAATCTCAAGCAGCTAAAATCAGATTTTACTTATTGTCGTGAATATAATTCATGGAGATTTGGTGATTTGGTATTCCAACAAGATTTTGACCGAAGTTTTTCATCGACGTCCGATAAGACCTTAGTAATATAGCCAATTGGTCTCGATCCATTTTCAAGTTCAAATGAGTCCAGAGCATGTAAAAAGAAGATTTTACAGATTTTCCAATACTATAGTAAATGAATTTTTGGTGATTTGAAATTTCGACTTGATTTTGAAGAAATCTTTCATTGACATCCCTAAGACCTTAAAATGGAGTTAGTTGGTCCAAAGGGACAAATCAATCCATTTTCAAGTTTAAACGAGCCCTTGAGTAGGTAAAACAAGATTTTATCAATTTTCGTGTACTATAGTCCATGGTTTCGTGGTTATTCAAAATTTCGACGTGATTTTGGTAGAAATTTTTCATGAGGACCGTTAAGACCTTAACAATAGAGCCAATTGGTCCCAAGGAGAAAATTACCCATTTTCAAGTTCAAACAAGCCCATAGTAGGTAAAACTAAATTTTACCAATTTTCATATACTATAGTCCATGAATATTTGTTGATTCAGATGTCCGACGTGATATCGACTGAAATTTTTCATGGACTTCCATTAATACCTTTTCAATGGAGCCACTTGGTCCCAAGGGGCAAATCGACTCATTTTCAAGTTCAACGGGCCATATAGTAGGTAAAATCAGATTTTACCGATTTTCATGTACTATAGTCCATTTATTTTTGGTGATTCAGAATCATGGCGTGATTTTTGCCAATTTTCATGGACGTATGCTAATAACTTAAGAATGGATATAGTTGGTCCCGTGGGGAAAAACCGACCCATTTTAAAGTTCAAATGAGCCCAGAGTAAGTAAAACTAGATTTTACCGACCTTCGTGTACTATTTTTCATTGATTTCTAGTCATTCAAAATTTCGACGGGATATTGGCTGAAACTTTTTTATAGATGTCCATGAGCACCTTACCAATGGAGCCAGTAGGTCCCGACGGGCAAACCAAGCCATTTTACAGTTAAAAACCGGATTTACCAATTTTTAGTACTACAGTCCATAGATTTTTGGTGATTCTGATTCTAAGCGTAATTTTGGCCAAAAATTTTCATAGACGTCCATTAAGACCTTAACAATGGAGTTAATTAGTCCCGAGGGGCAAATCGACCCATTTTCAAGTTCAAACAAATCCATAACTGCTAAACTAGATTTTACCAATCTTCCTATACTATAGTCTATGGAGTTTTGGTGATTTGAAATTTTGGTGTGATTTTGACTGAAATTTTTCAAGAACATCGGTTAAGACCTTAGCGATGGAGCCAGTTAGTTTTGAAGGGAAAACCGACCCATTTTCATGTTTAAACAAGCATAATTTTTGTGTACTATAATCCATGAATTTTTGGTGATTCAAAATTTCGGCGTGATTTTTGCTGAAAAATTTCATTGACGTTTGTTAAGACCTTAGCAATTGAGCAAGTTGGTCCTGGGGCCAAACTGACCCATTTTCAAGATTAAACGATCCCTAGATCATGTAAAAATAAATTTTATCGATTTTCATGTACTATAGTCCATGGTTTTTGGTGATTCGGGATTGCCGCGTGATTTTGGGCGAATGTTTTAATGGACTTCTGTTAAAACCTTAGCACGAGAGTCTATTGGTCCCGAGGGGCAAATCGATTTAAAGTTCAAAAGAGCCCTAGAGCAAGTAAAAATAAGATTTTACCAATTTTCGTGAAGTATAGACCATGAATTTTTTGTGATTCGAAATTCCTGTGTGATTTTGGTAGAAATTTTTATGGACATCCGCTAAGACCTTGGCAATGAGACAGTTGGTCCCGAGGGGTAAAACGACCTATATTCATGTTCAAACGAGCCTAGAGTAGGTCAAAACAAGATTTTATCAATTTTTGTATACTATAGACCATGGATTTTTGGTGATTTGGAATTGAGGCGTGACTTTGGCCGATATTTTTCATGGACGCCCATTAAGACCTTATCAATAGAGCAAGTTGGTCCCAACTCATAACGTGCAAATCGGTCAATTTCAAGTTCAAACGAGCCCAAAGTTGGTACAATAAGATTTTATTGATTTTTGTGTGCTATAGTTCATGAATTTTTTGTGATTCAACATTCATACATAATTTTGGCCAAAACTTTTCATGGACGTCCATTAAGACCCTAGCAATGGATCCAATTTGTCCCAAGGGGAAAATCAGACCATTTTTTAAGTTCAAACGAGCCTCAAGAGCAGATAAAACAATATTTTATCATTTTTTGTGAACTTAGTCCATGAATTTTTGGTGATTCATAAATTCCACATGATTTTGACCGAAATTTTTCATGTACAGACAATAATGTCATAATTCGAGTCTACACCCTAGGCGTGACCGGTACTCGAGAAGCCTTATTGGTCCCTAAGCGAACTCTCATCCTGGCTGACTACAAGCAGAAGAGTCACAACAGTTCTCATATACATCATGTTGAGCTAAGGTTCCTGAACAAGGACCCACCGGGGTCTCACAGTCTATATACCCAATCAATTTCAATATCTCATCAACTTAGCTTGACATCTTAGCGTGACAAAAGATATAAAAGAAAAAAGTGTCTCATTTTCTTTCTCAAAAAAATCTCCACATTTCTCAAATTTCCGAGAACATGATATGATGAATGAGAATGGATGCATCATAACACATATATAACATGGAGGCAATACTTAACTCAACAAGTATCAACATCTAAATTCTCTCGAAACTTAACAAAATCATTACAAGTCGAATAACTTTACAAGCCTCTCTCATGAATCATGTGCTCTAAAACCAACTAGAACAACAATTAAGGCGCCAACACAGACTAAAAACACATATAAGCCACCATATGGGTAACGCAATATAATCAAGCCCCCACATGGGCAACACAATACAAATCACAACCCAAAAATCATGCTATGATTTCACCCCATAGCTTAAGACATAAGAATGATCAATTACCCAATTCCAATCTTGGAGAAAGATATGTCAAATCTACCTCAAGGCCAAAACTTCACACGAACAACTTTATCAGAACAAATTCTCAACCACACGCTAACCAAAACGATCCTCAACTATCAAGAATGAAAATAATTCATATAAAGGAATCAAATTATGATACCCATATTGATAGAATTTGAAATCGGGGAAAATGGTTCAAAAATCACTTCAAAAATTAAAAGGGTAAAATCATATTTTTAGTTGAAAATAAAGTTCTACAAGCCAAAAGAAATTTGTGTTTGAAAACTCAATTTAAAATAAGCAAGAATCAAGCTCTAAATCAAGAATTTATTACTTTTTCAACTTTGGAAAAAAAGAAAGCAAAACTCGCATTTGAAATGCGATAAAAGACCGCATTTGAAATGTCTTTAATTAATTTAATAGTATAAGATTCAAAAATTCTTTTTACTTTGTTAAAATTCACGTCAAGTTAAAATCATATAAATATATATATATAAAAAATTTCTGATATCGGCATTGAATGATATTATTATAGAAGTTCGAATATAATTAGGCAGACTTTCATAATATCATAAGACAAAAAAAACCATGGAAGAGGGTGTTGGGTTTTATTTGCCCTGATTTCTTACCATAAATAGGTTTTCCTTTTAGGAAAAGGTTTTGAATTGACTATTCTTTTTTGGTAGGAAAAGGTTTAGGACTTTATAAATAGAGGCATGTTCCTTCTAACTTAATTAGCATTCACAATGTAGTTTTAAGGGCTTTGAGAGTTTTGGTTAGAGGGAGAATTTGTGAACCTCTCATGTATTCCGAGTGAATTGGTTGAGGTTGTTTCCCTCTGTATTTTGTACTCTCATGTTTATAGTGGATTGCTCATCTCCTTTGTGGACGTAGGTCGATTGACCGAACCACGTTAAATCTTTGTGTCTTTTGGTATATTTCTCGTTGCCTTCTTACTCGTGGTCTTTCGAGGTTTGCTTTGCTAGCTTCCGCGTTTACACCTGCTTATTTACGGTCCTAACAAGTGGTATCAGAGCCAGATTCAATGATGAAATCAGGTGTAGTGGTTCGATAATCGATGATTGAACCAAGTTAGAAAGAGGTGTTCATCTTGACGGGTGTAGTTCTAGCCACAACCTTTTTGACAGTAATGAAGATTTTGTTGGAGAAATTGTTTCAGAGAGGTTCTCTGTGTTGAGACATAAATTTTGTAAAGGAGAATATGGAGAGGAGAAGCAAGTTGTTGAAGATTAAGTAAAGAAGGTGGACAAATTTATTTTGTCAGAAATTCAGGCCAGGGGGGAGATTTGTTGGGTTTTATTTGCCCTGATTTCTTACCATAAATAGGTTTTCCTTTTAGGAAAAGGTTTTGAATTGACTATTCTTTTTTTGGTAGGAAAAGGTTTAGGACTTTATAAATAGAGGCATGTTCCTTCTAACTTAATTAGCATTCACAATGTAGTTTTAAGGGCTTTGAGAGTTTTGGTTAGAGGGAGAATTTGTGAACCTCTCATGTATTCCGAGTGAATTGGTTGAGGTTGTTTCCCTCTGTATTTTGTACTCTCATGTTTATAGTGGATTGCTCATCTCCTTTGTGGACGTAGGTCGATTGACCGAACCACGTTAAATCTTTGTGTCTTTTGGTATATTTCTCGTTGCCTTCTTACTCGTGGTCTTTCGAGGTTTGCTTTGCTAGCTTCCGCGTTTACACCTACTTATTTACGGTCCTAACAGAGGGAACTACAAAATGCATTCATATTCATTTTAAATACATTATTCATACTAAAACTATAAATCATCCATAACAATAACTTGAAAACATGCACTTATACTAAAGGTGTTATATGCACACACCCCGAGGCGTTTATACATTCAGTCTTGAGTTCACGAATCCAATAGTTTTTGCTCAGATCCTGTATATAAATTAAGAAATACACAAAATATTTAGAATCATTTGGCTCATATGAACTTTATTATTATTATTATTATTATCATATATTGATATAGCTTAAAATTTCTGTAAAAACTCATTAATTTCAAATTCTAAACTCACCTTTATACATACCTTAGTCATATTTTTCATAGATTTTTATATGGTAACCATTTGGAAATTGTAAGCCTGGAGATCGTACTATATCTCCTCCTTTGATTGTTTCCCACCTGACAATTTTTTAACATCCAAATTTAATTTAAGCATAATTTTCTTAATTATAATTGATGCGTAATTAGTAAATTAAGAAAATATGATTGAAGTTCAGACATTTTTGCTATTACGTATAAATTTATGTTATATATGAACTTCAAATAATTTGAATATAAAATATATTTTTGAAGCTTCATATGACTAAAGTTCAGAGATTTTCGATAAAAAGTGATTTGAACTTTTTATGTAACACTTACTTGTACTTAGTGACAAAGCAATGGAGAAACACAGCCATTTGCACCTTAGCAAAGTCTGCTCCAATACAATATCTTATGCCACCACCAAATGCCATAAAATTTCTAGTTGCTCCATTTAGCTCTATTCCCTATTAGCAATTTCAACAAATTTGAGGGAAAAAAAAATGAAATTATATAATATAATTTTTCGACGAAGGACCTACCTTCCATCTCCATGGATTGAATTGAAGTGGATCTTCATATTTGGTAGGATTTAAGTGCACAGCTTGAGAATACACCATAATTGCCCAACCAGCTGGAATAGTATATCCTGCATCACAAATGATTTTTTTAAATATAAAGACTTAATCAAGAAAAATAACTGGCATAATATATAAAGGCCAAATACATAAGCAGATTTCTAAACTTGTTGGGTTTTATTTTTCTCAGGTACCTTAACTACGTCATTTTCCTATTGAATCATTGAACCCCCATAATTTATACCGTTTAAACAAACACCGTTGTCTGATGTGGAACCAGATTTGTGAGGGGCATTGATAGATGATACATATGTTGTTCCACAAATCACTAGTCCAATTGATAGTGAAAATGTTTGAGAATAATTGTGTTTTACTTAAGTCATTTGAACACATTAGAAAACAAATGAGACTAACACGATTTGTCTTCATTCCTCCAATCAAAATTATTACAATTCGAACACAATTGAAGACATTTACAATAGAAAAGCTGATCAAAATCAAACAACAGTGTTTTAAAGGAACAAATTATGGGTGGTTCAATGACTCAATTGAAAAATGACGTAGTTGAGGTACCTGAGGAAAAAAACCCAACAAGTTTAGGGATTTGTTTATGTATTTGGCCATATATAAAATATACCCTTTAACTTAACCTCATCTTATATATATGCCCTCCAACTTTAAGTGTGCGTAAATAAACACTTAAACTTGTATAAAGTTGAATAAATAGACACACGAGTCCTACGTGTCACAACACAAATTTCCATGTAGGATACCATGTAGGACGTTTGTGACTATCTGTTCAATTTTATACAAGTTTAAATGTCTACTTGTACTGCACACTCAAAGTTGGATGACACAAAAATGAAATGAGGTTAAGATAAAAGAGCATATTTATGTATTATGCCAAAATAACTTTATCAAATAATTATAAGAAAATAAAGAATAAAATATAAATAAAAAGTATGAAGCATAATTTATGAAATATTATGATACGAAAATACCTTTGAAATTGATTTCTTTGAGTGTTTTCCTGAAAATTGCAGGAGCAATATTTGCTAGTCTTACTGTTTCATTGATAAACTGCATTTTCAAGTATATATTTAAATAAAATATAAATAAATAAAAAATCTTTACAATAATAGATTAAATATACCTGAAATGTGAACTTCATTGATTTATATTCTTGCCATGTAAGTCCATAAGATGCATTTTCCCTTCTTCTTATTATTGCCTCATGTTCCTCCTAAATGTATTTAGATATATTGTGGTATTTAATTTGGAGTAATTAATCTCAGAATAAATTTTTTTATAAAATAATACAATATTTGATTGGTCGCATAAGAAAAAACTAATGCTTCATAGGCAGACAAATATTTTCTTTGTCCCACTTTATGTGACATGATTCTGACTAAGAGTGTGAGCGTTAACTGGTTTAAATTTTTGTTTGAATTCATACATAGAATCTTTTTAAAAAATAGGAAAAATGCGTAAGTACCGTACCAATCTATTTCCGAAATTTCAGATATACTCTTAAACTATACTAAGGTCCTATTACCCCATGAACTTATTTTATAAATGACTTTTGGGCCTAGCGCGTGTTTGTCAGCACGCGCTAGGCCCAAAAGATAGTGCCAAAGTTAAGAGGATAATAGGATCTTAGTATAGTATGAGTGTGTCTTTAAAATTTCGGACATAAATTGAAAATACACATATATGTTTTTCAATCAATCAAGAAGATGAGTTTCACTTACTTTTAATTCTTTCAAAGCTTGAGGATGTTGATGAAGAAATTTAATAGCCAAAGTTATAGCCCAAGAGGTTGTCTCAAAGCTAACAAAGAGCAACACAAACATCAAATCCAAAGCTATTGCCTCAGTGAGTATTGTGTCTTTACTTTGAAGTTCTTCTAATACATAATCAAAAAAGTCACTTTGTTCCTTTCTTGGTTGTGATTTCCTTTCCTCTAACATTCTCTTGAGCATCTTCATTGTCTTCTTTCTTCCCTATTCAACACCTTCTAGAGTTAGTCCAATCACGACTCGTATAAATTTAGTCAAACATCGTTATAACGATAATATTATAGTGAAATGATAATGTAGAGAACAGGAGTATAACGTAATATAAAGAAAACTTGATTATAATAGTGAAACGATATTTTAGCGAATGGTTGCAGCATATACTTAGAGGCTCATCTGAACTTTTTCAGCCGAAAATATTTATTATTCATGCATGGTTACATTTTTTTTTTAGGTATATATAAGAGATGTTGAACCCCCTTCCACCAATTCGTATGTTTACATTTTAGATTTTGAATCTGCTTATTAAAAATTCTGGCTCCGCCGCTGATTACTATAAAGACATGTGATTATATAGGATTTAATTTAGGGAGAATAATATTTTTATTAATATTTCTGTTATATTTAATAGATTTTGATTTTAATAGTGGTGACATATGCATTATATTAATTAATAATTACCAATCATTATTATGCTATTAGTAGTGCATATAGAAATTATTAAATTATAAATACCTGTAAGCACTTATAATAGGCAGTTCCAGGAAAATATATAGGGAAAGAAATTAATCCCTTTACAAAGGCTACAAAATTTTCACACACATTCTCTGTAGAATTTTCAGAATCATAGCTTATAAGTTTCTTTCCAGTTATATCAAATATCATCTGCAAAAAAAAATAAAAAATATCATGCTTTGAATTCATATTTTTTTTTCTTTAAAAAAAATAATCAAAAATCAAAACTCATAAATAATAAATCTTAAATTGTGAACTAATTAAATGGGGAATTTAGAGGGTTCATTTCGTCAAACTTTGATGATTATTTTGTCGTATCTAATCATGAGATATATATCATATTTTGATATATATATATATATATATATATATAAACTATTACTCCCTTTATATTATTAAAACATGCATCGGTGCTAAGTTAGTTAAATATTTAAAATAATCAACAACATATGCGTGAAGGTCAACTCAACATCAAGGTATGTTTTGATACAAAAAGGAGTAATAATTTAGGTACCTTAAGAAACGAAAAATACGAAACTCACAAAAATACAATAGTTTAGATGTGTTGTATACCATTAGCTCTATTTATAATCAAGATTTTCCTTGAAAGAAGTCTTCCATTAATTTATTTTAACGTAACGAAATACATGAAAGTCTGAGTGACCATACGTGAAATTAACCCTTGAATTTAGACTACTTACCTTGGCTGTTGCTTCCTTCATCTCAACACTCTTTTGTTTTGACCATCTCTTCAAGTTATTATTTGTAGTTTTTTCAACTTCAGGCAGCATTTTTCTCAAACTTTCAGGGCCAAAAAGATTTAGCACCATATTTTTTAAGTATTTGTACATAAAACCATGAAAAGATCCAACATTTTGCCTTCCCATAATCTCAGCAAAAGTATGTGGATACCAACTTTGAAACAATTTTCCCTCTTGTTGGAAGATGAAGTAATTAAAATCAGGGTCTGTGGATACTATGATTGGATGTCCCACCAAGCTAGTCCGAAATATCGGTCCATACCTGATTCAGAATTTAGATATTGTGAATTTTAAGCAGAGAGATCAATGGGATGTGAATAATAGCGTAAGTCAGAATTTTCATTCAGGAGTTTCAAAATATATGAAGAAGTAATGAAGTCAAAGAAAGTTTAATATCTACTACATGTATATAATAAATAGTTTTAACCATGTATAAACTGAATATTTTTTGTGTGAATGAAACTGTTGGGTCCTTACTAGTTCCGCCCCTGAATGTGAAACGCATATTTAGTTCTATTTGATCATTATAGTAAAATATTAATATAGATAATTGATTATTACAGAAATTTCTGACAATAATAATAATAATAATAATACTCTCCTCCTTTCAATTTGTTTGTCGCATTTTTCTAAAAGAATGTATTTTTTAAAAAAAAAATTCTTTACTGCTCTTTAACTTCAACTTTCTACGTGACATGTTTAAGATGAAAAAATTAAAAGACATTCGAGACCATAAGATTTAAAAGTTCATTTTACCTTTTTAAACATTACGTCAAGTTAAAGCGTGACAAACAAATTAGAACACAGGGTAAAAAACTTAAAATTGGTTAATTACCTTTGCATCCTCTCCTTCACAAAAGGAGAAATATCCAATGATGTATTTGGTGCAAAGAATGGAATAGTCTCACCAAGTAATGGCCAACCCATTGAACCTGGTGGGAGTTTTCCATTGCTTTTAAGGTTCCTCCAATAATGTAAAATAACTATAACTACTAAAGATCCAATAATATAAATACCAAGTGACAACATTTTCTTGATAATATATATTGAGTATGTTTATAATTTTATAATTTTATAATTTTAGGAAATCATGGGGACTATAAATAGGCAATTGAATAAAAGTTGGGGTTCGTGGGTTCGAACGTACGTAATAACTTTTTTTAGTTAACTTTTGAACTCTTAACAAAATTGATTGACGGTTTAGTGGCAAATAAGACTCGAAGAGATCACAAAAATATTTTTCACTAGATTTGTGTGTTTGAACCCGCCTCTCTTTTTTTAAATGGAAATTTAAAAGTATATAATAGCAAACTAATAACCTAAAATAAATGGAGTATCTAGGGTTTGATTTAATTGTGCTCCATAGCAAACGTTTCCCAAAATTTGCCAGTCGCCTCTCTCTCAAAAATCTCGCTTGCCACTCTCCCATTCTCGCTCCAATCTCTCGCTGGCTTCCTCACCTTTTATACAAACACAAGTGTATAAAAACTGTTTCTATTAGTATAAAACAGAGAAAATTGTATAAATACATATATTTTTGTTCCCGTTTCTCCCCTCTTTCAGATCTCGCTCGCAACCCTCGCCTTTCTCACTTATACAAACAGAAGCGAAATGTATAAATTGTGTTTCTGTTTGCATAAAGCGTGAGAAAATTGTATATACACATGTAAGTACATATATTTTTGTCCTATATACTTATAATTATATAATAAAAATACTCCCCTACCCAGCTTCTTTTGCCTTTCTCTCTTTCTCGTTTTATACAAATTCAAATTGTATCTAATTTCTCTCTTTCTCGTTTTATACAATTCGATTCAATTGTATATTCCCTGTCCAAGTCTCTTTTATCTTTCTCTTTCTCATTTTATACAAATTCAAATTGTATATAATCGTTCTATACACTTATAATCATACAATTCGTTTTATACACTTCGTTTATACAATTCTCTGCCCAAGTGTATTTCTCTTTCTCGTTTTATACACTTCGTTTTATATAATTCGCTTCATTTGTATATGTATAACGAATTATACAGTTTCTATGTTTGCGATGGAGCACAATTATGCAAATTTTGCTATAGCATACAAATATAATTTTTTTATTTACTATATGTGAAAATTGCCCAATTTAAAATCGCTAACTTTTGATTCTGACTATGCAAAATTGTTAATTACGTATGATTTGCTTTTTAAATGTTGAACATTTATTAGTGGCTCCAATCTCATCTTCAACGTAGTCCATTTGTTCACTTACTTCTATTATAGATTTTCATTTTATTCATCATTTTTGACATATTAAAAAATGACAATAATTCCTTTTTATATTTTACCTTCACCATTACATACTTATATTTTCCAAATCATTTTCTAAGACTTCATTTAATAGGGAATAATTTAATATAATAAATACTTATATCGTTAATTATTTTCATAATAAGTGTGCGAAATCAAAATATAACAACTAAAAATGAACAAAAAAAAACTCGGTCAAGACACATAACTACAATCTTGACTTGCGTAAGCTTACTCGTCAAAGATGTATTTAGGTCAGGGCGCGTAACTACAATTTTATCAAAAAAACAAAGCTAAATTCAAATGTATCTAAAGATAGTAATAGATTATAAAATGGACATATATATAGCAAATATTCTTCAAATAAAACAAGAAGTAGATGTTTATCTTTTCGATTTAGTGTAAATGTCATCATCTTAGTCAATTATCTTGATATGATCAAAAGAAAAAAACAATACGGTCTTATTTACTTGAATTCAAAAAAGGGAGCTAGAAAGTTTATTACACAAGCTTATACGTCTACAACTTTGTCAGGAATGAAACATCAAAATAAAATTTTGCGATGACACTACACCTAAAAATATAGATATTTTTTTTATCGATTAGGTCTAAGATTCAGTGCGATATTTATTTTTGAGTATTTTTTTTTATCAAGATGTCCATACGAATTAGGACATGATTAAAATTTTTGTAAAGAAAAAAAAAATACAATAATCTCTTCTTTTTGTTTTTGATAGAGATTGAGATAAATTTATTATGAGACAACATTTTATGGCCATACGTATATTTTTTTTTCTTAAAAGTAACCAACAATTTATAATACTAAATAAATTTTAAATATATAAAAGGAATTTTCAAAAGAATAAACTTTTTATAATTTTTCTGTTTTTCTAGCAAGTTGAAAATATAACTATTTTGTGGTTTTCAATTTTTTAAAAACTAAAATCTGCTAAAAAATGAAACGAAACATTCCAAAATTGGACTTTAAAGAAAACGCTAACAAGTTATAAACACTTTTAAGAGGGTGAAAATGTACATGTCTACAATGACTATAATTATTCAAGAATAAAATTAAGAAGTTTAAAGTTCAATATTTTTAATATAAAAATATATTTTTTTTGAGACAGACAAAATTAAAAAATAACCAAAAAATTTATATAATTGATTATTTTTCACTTTAAAAAGAGTATTCTTTTTAAAAACTACATCTCATTCTAGACCTAATAGTTCGTCAATATGTCTGCTTATATAATAAGGATATTTTTGACATTTGATAAGCTTTTGTTCTTTAAAGACTTTTATTTGTCGGTATTTTATAATGGTACCTTTTCTCTTTTAGACAAACAAATCAACTAATATTTTCATAAATACATACTTTAAATTTTATTAAAAACACATAAATTAGGATAGAAAACAAAATTTTAAATATAATTTTTTAAAGAAAATAAAATAAAATTAATTTTTTAAATTTTATTGTGCGATATAAATGGGAAGGAAAGCATAAAATACAAATTGAGTCTATAATATTAGGTCATTTAAATGATATTTTATACTTGGATGAATATCAATTATAATAAAATTAATAAGTTTATATTTAATAATTCGTTGAATCACTCTGTTGATCTTTAGTTATATAATCAAAATAATGATGAGTTTATGTCAACTCCTTTTGGAAGGTTGTTACATTAATTTTACATCGTATTGAATATGTATAATATTTGGATTATATAATTTTGGTTATTATATGATATCATCACACATAAAAAGAATAATTCTAAAAAAAAAGTAGGATATAATGAAATTAATACTTCAGGAAGTTTAAGAATATTAAAAGGTTTCTTAATTTTGTATTTCTAAATTAAACTTGTATCTGATATATCAAAATGTCTTTTAATTTTGTGATATTAAATGTCACGTGAAAAGTTAAATTAAAGTGTTATCAAAAAATAAAATAAATCATTCTTTTCGAAACATACTAAAAAGAAAAGTATGTTATTTTTTTCGAATAACAAAAAATCGTATAAAAGATAAAATATAATTATTAAATAAATAAACACAAAACGAGAAAAGAAAGTAAACGGAGGAGGAAGAGATTTTCATCATTATCTAAACACAAACTTAACAAAATAAGATTTTCCATCTTATATAAACATGAACTTTAAAATACGATGTACTAAAAATACTTCAAATAACAATCACAATAAATAATGTACTCATGTATAAATTAACGATGTAATACAATGCAGTAATAGAAAACAACTATCCGAACAAGCTATAATCACTAGATTTCTCTCGTATTTATTTTGATATATAACACTTAAGCCAAAGGTCTATAGATACAATCTCTTACCTACATAACGTAACATAAGAATGCATATACACTATCTTTCCCGAATTGACGTATAATGCTATTTCATTATTGCAATATTTTTGACTAAGCGTAGAATTATTCGATTAATTTATCGTATTTTTCTTTTCACCAATCAAATATTTCTTGAATTAAACAACACCCACCGTCCACTAGTTGACACCTGATAGCTTCAATTGGCCGGCAAAGGACACGTGGCAGACACCCACTTGCTCCACCAAAAAAACCAATTTTTAAATCAAGAATTGATATTCAAATACGAAAATCAAAAAAAAAAAATGTCCACCTCCATCATTTTTCACCGCCGGCGCCGCAGTCACCGCCTCCGGCAGCCATGTACGATGGAGACGGCGACGATGAGTCAACCCCAGGTTTGGCTAAACGATTTTACTCACTTGAATCGAGTCATAGGAAGCTTGAAGAACAGTTCAATGTTTTATTGCAAGAAAAAAAGATAGATGATTCATTGAAAATGGATGATTCAGATGAGAAATTAATGGATTCAGGTGAAATGGGGTTTCGTGTTCCTGGGTTTTTTTCTACTGGAAGTCCGTATAGGAATGTGTTGAATCATATGGGTCATGCTGTTCATGTTAGTAGAGCTAGTACAGGGGAGATAATATATTGGTAAGTGAAATTGAAACTTGTTTTCAGTTCAAATTTGATAATGAAATTACTCTGTTTATATTGAGTGGTGTTTTATTTGAGGTGGGGTTGTTGATATTTAGAGTTTTTTATTGAGTAAATGAAGTTGACTTGAGCTTGATTTACTTTGAAAAGTTGGTTCTTTAGTTGATTTTTGCGTATATTCAGCTCCTTTTTTCGTAGATTTTGAAGTTGAAACTTGAAACGTGAATATTTTAGTTTTTGAAGTTGTGATTTTTTGGGATTTGAAGTTAGCTTTTGGAATTCGGATGTGCATTTTACTATTTTGAAGTTTTGTGAGTTGAAGCCTTAAAAATCCAAATTTGTAAATATTTGAAGATTGAATTTTCAGAACTTGATAATGTTTCATGGGTAAATAGATAATTGAAGATAAATTTATAATGGTCGATGTTTGATTTTAGCTGGGATTATTGGTACTATGAGCTTTTGCTTGGTAAATTGTAGTTGACTTGAGCTAGATTTACTTAAAAACATTGTTGATTTTTGTATATTTTCAATGTAAGGAGAGATTTGGAGGATTTTCAGTATATTTTCAGTAATTAGTTCAAGATTGAGGGGTAAGTAAAATGCGGAAAGGAAGTTTAACACCAGATGGTTTTATACTGCTTGGGATCTAGAATGGATCTTAGTCTAGTTCCCTGTTCTCTTCTAGATTTTGAGTTGTACAAATGTACATCCTAAATCTACACTCAGTTCTTTTTTCTTTTAAGCTCTTTTCAATCTTTTGTTACAATCGCTCACCATTCTAATTTTCTCTCTTCTCTTTTTTTATTACACGGTAATTCACTCACAACAGCAATGCTTGCTAAAGTAGAACAAAGATAGTAAAAAGGTTTAGTCGTCTTGTATGTTTTCTTCAGTCATTCTCAGTCTGTATATAGGTTTGATGGACTGATGAATAATGCACGCAACCAAAAGATTTGATCCTTGGAAAAGGAGAAGTGAATCCTGTTTCCAAGAGTAAGGCAAAGTCCTTAGTGACTTCGAAATCTTCCAGCTGTTTGAAAATCTTTTCTAGGCGTGATTCAAGAAATCACTGCTACCGTTGTTTTCCTTGATTTGTTTCCTGGCATAGTTCAAGGGATCATTTGCTGCTGTAATTTCCTTGATTTGTTGACATACTTATCTTCTGAATATCTCTGTCGTTAAGGCTGATATCAAGTTAGATTGATATCTTCTTTATTTACTGTCTTCTATGATCTTCCTTCCTATATGTTGTCCAGTGATAGGTCCTGAATTGAAGGATGGTTTGTGCTTTCCTTTGTCCTGCCCAGTGTCTGGAAAGAACATTTTCCTATTCTGATTGTTCGAAAACTTACATCTGCAATGATCTTTGTAGCTGCTAAAATTACCTTCATGATTTAACATTGTGGCATGGATCAACTTTTTACACTCAACATATAATGAATCTACTATTTTTTATTTTTTATTTTATAATATTGACTTGAGATGAGATCAAGTGGAGTGATACGGACAGTAAGGATTCATGCAACCTGTCCCAACTCTTTTGGAGATAAAGGTGTAGTTGTTGCTGTTGAAACCTTTTCATTTAATGACTCAGCTAAAGAGTGGTTCAAATTAAGCGTTAGCTTCTTGTTGTTGCACTTACATGAGGTCCAGGAAGGTATAATTGTGAGATCTAGAATATACTAATTTGCTCTAAAAGATAAGCTTAAAAGAATAGTATAATATTGCAATGGAATGAACTCTAAGATCGGATATATGGAAGACTCATTTCACCAATCCCAAACTGGTTTGGCCTGAGATATAGTTAACTGATTTATTGACTACAGTGAGAGATTACAAATAGGAATTAAATCAAAGAGATCTCTGCTAACATTGTCTTTTAGTCCTTAAAGTTCAAACTATGCACTTTGGTTTAACTCATTTGTCCATTGGGGGAGTCTGGATTATTATACAGGGGTGTCAAAATATAAGTGAGTGGAGTTACGAAGAAGTCAAAGGGAGTCTAAATATAAATGTGTGAACTTACGAAGAAGTCAATATATATGTTGTACAAAGATTTTCTTTCCTAACTTTACAGTAAATTTTCCGAGGAATTGTCCAATTTCTTAAAGGGGGACTCTAGAGGGGAGGAAGTATGCTGAGAGGGACGGATAGGGGGAGAGTGAAAGACACTTTGGTTTATGCAAATATTTTGTAACATTCCAGAAAAATTTCATGTCTAGTGAAGAGACCAATAGATCTTTAAGAATGCGTATTGGGGATACAAAGGCATCCCAATGCTCAACATTGAGAAATATATGACATTATAGAAAATTGGCTAAGGGGTATTAGCCAATTTCTATATAATACCCAACTAGGCAAAATATTGGGCATATTAGAAAATATTGGCTTAAGGGTGTTGGCCAATTTTCTATGCATGAGCAAGTAAAATACATTTTGGGTTGTCATACCCAATCCAAGATTGATTATCCAAGAAATGTACCTGCAAGGAAGACCCTAAGCTAAAAATGTTCGCTTCATAATATTTGCACAATTTGTACTAGGCATCCAAGTGTCAAGCCTAGGTACCATAACACATGATTATTTAAAATGATCATGTAGATTTAAGCAGTGCCCAAGGACGTGGTGAGGGTCCTTGGGTCAATAAGTAAACATTCCAAATGAACCATCAAGAATAGTTAGTTAGGAAAGTACAATCAACACATGTGCAAGACATGTGAAGAAGCGGCCAAAGGAGGGGACCATCCTAACCGAATTCGGTTAGGGTAGTTAGGGGGCAAGCGTGTGCAAGGGTCCTTCCATGTGGGGCCTAACTTCCTAACCAACTCTAGACACTAACTAACTGCCCTAACTAGCTAACTAACCTAGCACCAAGCAAAATAAACTAATTAGTGCACCGACAGCCTAAGACTTAACTGGGTGACGCTAACCTAGTAACTAGTTAAAGAGACAACCTAGTACTTAACCTAGGATGGTCCAAAAGGTTGGTTATGGTTCTAGCAACTTAGGGATGCTTTAGTAATTATCCTAGGTTACTTAATTAATTAATTTAGCAACTTAATTAATTAATTTAAATGGACAAAACCGAAATGACAAAGCAATTTCCAGATTACAGTTATTCAAGCAAAAGACAACCTAGTACCTAACCTAGGATTGTCCAAAGGGTTGGTTATGGTCCTAACAACTTAGGGATACTTTAGTAATTATCCTAGGTTACTTAATTAATTAATTTAACTACTTAATTAATTAATTTAAAAGGACAAAACCGAAATCACAAAGCAATTTCCAGATTTCGGTTAAGACAAGAAAAAGACAACCTTATACCTAACCTAGGATGGTTCAAGGCGTTAGATATGGTCTTAACGACTTGAGGGTACTTTAGTATTTACCCTAGGTCACCTAATTAATTAAATTAGCAACTTAATTAATTAAATTAAAGGGGTCAAACCGAAATTCTTACACTAACCTAGTATAACTCAAGAAACATCCTAGTACTTAACCTAGGATGGTCTAAAAGGGTTAGTTATGGTTCCAATTGAAATTGACTAATATCCCTTAGCCAATTTTCTATACTATGCCCAAAATTTCTCAATATTGGGCATTGGGATGCCTATGTATCCCCAATACGCGTTCTTAAAGATCTATTGGGCTCTTCACTAGACATGAAATTTTTCCGGAATGTTACATATTTCTCCATAGGTTTGATGTTAAATCGCCTTGCATATCTTGTTTAGATATGTAGGTGTGTAGATTTGTTTGCATCCAACATTACAGAAAATACAATTACCTGCAGATTGACTCTTGAAAATTAATAGAGGAAAACATTTGTTTCCTGCTAGAGAAAAAGGAACTACAATTTAAGGGCATGTCAAAAACAGAAAAAGAAAGAAGGAAAACTCTAGGTGGCTAGGTGTTCTTGTCTGTTGTGAGTTGCATATTACACACAGAAGCTTTTCTATTGCAGGAATCGATCTGCTGAAAGACTTTATGGTTATAAGGAGCATGAAGTACTTGGACAGATGACCACTGAGTTCCTTATATGTGAAGAGTATCATCAACTGGTAAGGATTGCCAGGGAAAGATTGCGCTATGGACAATCATGGTCCGGTCTGTTTCCTTGTAAGAAGAGGCATGGTCAGATATTTATGGCAATGTTGACAAAGAGCCCATTGTACGAGAATGGAGAGCTTTTTGGTATTATCACTGTCTCGAATGATGCAGCTTCATTCACTAATACAAACTCAAGCGACACAAGTTCCCATGAGGACAATGGTGAACCCGGTGCTCGGGAAATAAATTTCAAAAGGATTCAATGGAATCAACGACCACAAATTGCATCCTCTGTTTCAAATCTGGTGATTATTATCGTGTTGTCATTGTGGTTCATAAACATTTTCGTCACATTCTGAATAATTATCCCTTGGTTTTTCCTGCTTATTCAGGCCTCGAAAGTTTTCTCACTGAAGCGTGGAGAAGATGCATCTGCAGAAGTGAGCTCTAGGGATGAGGCTGATTTAGACACCAAAGAAGGAAAACCACTGAAGCCACCCAGAGCACCAGTAAGTGTGAAGGTAGTTTGTTTACTTGCTTCTTATTGACTAAAATGGCGTTTTATGAGGTAAGATTAACGTTTCAGGCTACACGGCTGAGTTTCAGTTTGCTTGGTGGGAAGAATAGAGCTAACACAGAGAGCTCTGAGAAGGATGAATCTTCATTTGACATCTCTCAGCCTTCCAAATTTGTAATTTCCTGCTACTTTACATGTCTGGAGTATGGTTCTATATGATGTCCCTCTCTTTCTTCTTGGCTTTATTAGTTTCGTTGAAAAGATTGGCTGGCAATTACCTTCAAGGTCTTGTTAGCGTATTTGTGCTAAAGAACACTTGATAAGATGAATTAGAGTAGTCATGGAAGGATCTAGATGAAATTCAAGAACCAATCATCAAATTTTGTGACAAGTTGAGTAATTCCGGGTTCACCTCTGCAGCTTACTAAGAGGAGTAATAACTGATCAAACAACAGAATAAAGTGTTGGTGGTAGTGCTCTGTGTGTGTTAGGAGTGGGGGGGGGGGGATGGCAAAGGGGTTTTCCTCTATTTAAACGTGATTTGCCTTCTAGAGATGGGATGAATCTAAGTAGCAAAAGGATAAGAGATTTTCGTGGTGGGGAGCGGGAAGTAAACGCTGTTGGGGTCCCGGGGTTCATTTAAACTAAGTTAAACTGGACAGAAATTAATACTTAAAACAGAAAATGTAGGTATTTTGTGCCGAAGAAATAGAAGAACCAAGCTCCCAATAAAGTTTTTGATAATTATGTATTATATGACTAAACCTGGATGTTATTTCTAATGACTTGTTTGCAATTGTAGGCGGCAAAGGTTATGTCAAAGCTGAATATTGCAGGATTTGGGCACATTAATAAAGAGAAGGGTCACCAGAACGGGGATGACGATACTCCTGTTGTTGAGAATGTAGCTGAACCACATTCATCAGCGGCATCAAATTCTACAGGAAAATATTGTCACTTTGTTGATGCACATCATCACCTCCAGAAAAACCAGAAAGGAAGTTATCATCCAGGAAGAACATGTGCCCCTACAACTGGGCATGATGGTCCTGGAGGGTCCTCCTCAAAAAACTCCGACAAATTTCCCGAGGCACTTGAAATTCCTGAACAGATTCCAGGATCATGTATGAGTGATGAACACCAGCAATCACCTAAGTCAGGTGGGAGCACAGATAGCTATGGGAATTCATCATTCAAAGTTGAAAATGAGTCGAGTTTGATAGTAGATTGTGCAATTTTATGGGAAGACATAAGCCTAAAGGAGGAAATTGGACGAGGTAAACAGAGTAATCTCGCCATTGTTTACATACACTTTGCTCTTTTGAGCTAATGAACCATTGGACAAATATTTTTTTGAGTAGTTACTTCGTTGATTGTTACCACTCATTGTATGTTTTAAGCATAACATATGTGCTGGATGCCTGGAAGGAAGAAAACATTACCTGAATTTTGGTACAATGGTTGCCTAGTTTACTCTTTGCATAAATTATCATCACATGTTAATGCTGAGCCTTTTATCATTTATCAAGTACAGAACATTTAAGTTTTTAAAATGATCACTGACCTCAATGTCTTTTCTTTAGGTTCATATGGTGTTGTGTATCATGGAATCTGGAATGCGTCGGTACTTCTCACGTTTACAAGTTTTTGGTTATGTTCTAAAGGCTGAATAGTATTTCATGATGGAGGTATATTGATTGTTAGTTCTCTCAATGTTTTCTTTAGGATGTTGCTGTTAAGGTTTACTTTGGGAATCAATGCAGTGAGGAAACATTGCTCGAGTACAAAAAGGAGGTACGTGATAATACCAGCTGCAAGTTGGACACTGCCTTGATAGAACAAAAACTTCTAATTTTTTCTCTACCGTGTTTTCAGGTTGAAATAATGAAAAGACTCAGGCATCCTAACGTGTTGCTATTCATGGGGGCTGTGTATTCTCAAGAAAAATCTGCCATCATCACAGAGTTTTTACCCAGGTATTGAACTGAGTCTCACGCCCCCGTGGGAGAATGCGGTGGAGAAGTTTGTCGATGAACTGGACTGGCAATTGGCAGATGATTGTCCATTCTGTCCAGTTGGACAAATAGAATTGATAACATTCTTATCATGTATTTCAGGGGAAGTCTTTTCAAAACACTCCATGGAAATAATCATTTATTAGACTTCAGACGGCGTCTTAGGATGGCCCTCGATGTGGTGTGGTTTCTGCTTGGACTCATCAATTTCCGTCTTAAATGTGTTTTCAGTGTGACATTTATTCTAGTAGAATCGTGGTGTTCCTAACACTCATTTAATTGACTCTAGGCAAGAGGTATGAATTATTTGCATCGCCGGAACCCACCTATTGTACATAGAGACCTTAAGTCATCAAACCTGCTTGTTGATAAAAGTTGGACCGTCAAGGTACTGATTGCTGAACTAATGCTTCAAATGATTCTCAGTGAAGCCCTTCAATAGATAAGTACACTGACATAATTTATTCCAGGTAGGAGATTTTGGCCTATCAAGATTTAAAGATTCAACCTTTTTAACAACAAAATCTGGTCGAGGGACGGTAAACATCTTAGCTTCCTTTTCCCTCCTTTGTTATTGTCACATCGAATATAGCTTATGCCAATACTGGTCTGTTTTTGTTTTCTTGATTATTGCAGCCTCAGTGGATGGCTCCTGAAGTACTTCGAAATGAACCTTCAACAGAAAAGTAAGTTCCCAAAGCCTTGCTTGCAAGCTTCATGAGAAGATTAAATATTTTTGCACCTGTTAATTTGCGAAATGACTAGGTGATTGGCTGATGCTCAATTGCTTGTTGAGCTTGAGTTCTTTCACCTTCGTGCCTTTGTCCTAAGAACATGTTTTTATGTAGGTAGATACAAAAATAAAACTGCGGGAACCATTTTATCCATTCGAGTAATAGTGTTTGTTGGCACCAAATGTTGCTTAGTATTCAAGCATTTTTTCCTCCTTTTTTCTGTCTGAAAACACACATACATATGTATATACATATGATGATGATGGCATGAGTTGAGCTTAACTGAAGCAGTGAGAATTCATATAAGCCAATCCCAACTCGTTTGGCATTCAGACGTAGTCGTTTCGCAATGTCTTTCTGATGGATTTATTATATTATCGCGACAGATCTGATGTCTTCAGTTTTGGTGTGATCTTATGGGAATTAATGACCGAATCTATTCCATGGAACAACCTTAATTCTTTACAGGTAACTCTCTTACCTCTCTGTTGTTTGCAAGTATGACAAATGCAAGTGCTAGCTTATTGCAAGTTGTCTCACTAAAACAATTTTTGAACTGCTTTGTAATGTTTTTACTTGAACCGAGGGTCTATCAGAAACAACCTCTCTACCTAGTACCTCCCATGGTAGCAGTAAGATCTGCGTAATTTGCAGATTACATTGGATATGTTGTTCTTACATTGAACCAATGAACTTTTCTCTTTAAAGGTTGTAGGAGTTGTCGGATTTATGGATCGTAGATTGGAAATTCCGGAACATCTTGATACTCGAGTATCTACAATCATCCTCGATTGTTGGCAAAGGTGCTCTTTTCTCTCTCGTTTATTTCATTCCATGTTCTCATCGATGTGTGCAATATGAGCTCGAACTAAACCTCGTTTTCTTCTCTTGATACAAACAGCAATCCAGCAATCCGTCCATCGTTCCAAGACATAATCCAAAGAACGACAGACATAATTCTCTCGTTTACAGGATCAACGACAGCTAGGAAGAACATAGGGACATAATATCAAACACGAATCGACAGGTTTTTTTCCAGATAACAACTTAGCAGGAGTTCACTTGTGTAAGTGAATTAGCAATACATGAGGCATCACAACTTTGTTTCTTTTTCTTTGACATTTTTTTTCTTGTTTTTTAAAGTTAAAAGGGTAAGGAGTTCCATTTACCCTGATAGTGAATGGATGTTAGAAAGCATATATGTTCTAATCCCTAGTTTTTTAGAATATATATAGTGTGTAGGCAAGTTTCGCTGGAAAATTACACTGTGTAGATAGGCGAACTTTTTTGAAAAGAAATATTTATTATTCTTTTACGTATGTATAGAACTTTCTTGATTTCTTTATGTGTTTACTTTTTTATATTCAGATTCTCCTTACTCTTCTGTTTTGAACGTTGTTAAGTACTGTATTACATCGTGTTGTATTAAATTGTAATGTAACAAATTCTCTATTGTTACATGTTATTAGACATCAACAATTTGAAAGATAAATCTAAAAAAGAAAAGTAGGGTATGAAGTAGAGTTACTATAAAGAAAGGATAAAGGATCGAATAGGATTACTGTTACATAATAAGTAAAGACAAAATGATAAAGAAAAATTAGGTAATGATGCAATTGCACTCAATTGGTCGTTCTTGAAATGAAATTTTTCGATATTACCTAACAATTAATTTAGCGTTGTTATATAATAAAATTTAAGTAATAGACCAAAACAAACTTTGTATAATTTAAAGGGAAAATACCCAAATACCCCCTCAACCTATTCTCGAAATCTCAGAGACACACTTATACTATACTAAGGTCCTATTATCCCCCTGAACTTATTTTATATGTAATTTTCTACCCCTTTTAAGCCTACGTGGCACTAGTTCGAAAAAAAAGTCAATCATCGTTGGGCCCACAAGATAGTGCCACGTAAGCTAAAAAGGGGTAAAAAATTATTAATAAAATAAGTTCAGGGGTAATAGGACCTTAGTATAGTATAAGTGTGTCTCTGAGATTTCGGACATAGGTTGAGGGGGTACTTGGACATTATCTCTAATTTAAACTAATAGTTAAACTAGCAATACAATACAATGGGTAATAACCATCGAAACAAGTTCGGTAGGAAACATTTTACCTCCTCGGCAAACCAAACTTATGTTTAAGTTAGTAAATGATCATCTTTTTATTTCTTTTTCGATGGACCTTCTAGATCAAAATTTAAAGAATTTTTTTTACTATACTGAAAATCTTATGAAAAAATGTTGAAGTATAGTCTAAAATTTTGTATATGATTTCAAAGGTTAGATGACAATTTATGTTTGTCCATAAACTTTGGTGTAGAGCCGTCAATATGGGTTAGGCTGTTGGGCCGGCCTGGCCTAGCCTGGGATTTAATAGCGTTGGACTATGATTTTGGGAGTCTATTTGAGAAAAGGATTTTTGTTCCGGCCTGAATAAGCTTGTTGATTTGTGGGGCTTGAGAAATATTGGTAGGGCCGATCCGTGGGCCAATAAAAATTAATTAAAAAATATTATATAATATTAAAATTTTAAAATTAAAGAGAGTACAAACTCAAACAATTAGGTTAATATTTCTATTTAGATATTTATACTTTTACTTGAAAAAGAACTTAATAAATATCACAAAGATACTTTTATTTGTGGATTTGGTTATAAAATAGTAACATTAACATCATGTAATATTGTTTTGTCGATATTTATGATAACACTTTTAAATTATAATTTATAATTTAATTTAATAATTCTAAATATAATATATTTTTCAAATAAAGTGGGCTGGCCCGACAAGCCTGTAACCCACGTACTTGTGGGTTGGACCCACAATTTTTTGGTCCATACTAAAAATGAGTTAGCCCAGTTTGACCTGTAAAATGTAGAAGTTTGTATGAATTAGCCCGGATGGCGTGAGCTAACCCATATTGACAGCTCTACTTAGGTTAATATATGAGCAAATATCAACATGAATTTAATGTTATTTGAAATTTTAATATTGATTAGTCTGATCAGTAAATTTTAGATACTAAATAATTAGATCGGATACTACTAGACACCCTCAACCCACCCCCCACCCCCACTTCTTGATCATAAATTAGGTCAGCAAAAAACATTCTTGATTGTGAAATTCATGCACAAGATTTTGTTATTAGAAAAGAGAACACAAGAGACTATCAACTTTCAAAAGCCATTTTTGTTGACTGGCTATGACCCTTAAAATATAAATATGAGTTTAAATTATATATATCGAAAATTTTTATATCATTTTGATTAATTTTATCAAAATTAGTTTTATATATTGTAATGGATAATGGTTTCAATTTTGAGATTATAAATTTTTAAAAAGTTTTCCTTGTATATATTTTCTACAAGGTTAATTTTTTTTAAAAAAATAATAATACCGATAATATATATAACTTAAACTTTATTATAGATGATAGCATATGATTGGTCGGTGTTCATTAATTAGTATGGAAAATAAGAAGATTTAGATCAAACAAAGTCAACAAATATCTAATAAGACAATTAAGAATTTTCCTAAGAGATATTGAATAAATCTTTAATATTTCACTCTCTTTGAAATATCAATATCATGTTAAATATTTGAACTCTATATTGTTTCTCCGTTTTAAAATAAATGTCATTTAGAGTGTGTTTAGTACGAAGAAAAATATTTTCTGAAAAATGTTTTTCAATTTTCTCATGTTTGGTTGGGACAAAAGTTTTGGAAAATATTTTCCAAATCAACTCATTTTCCTCAAAAAAAAAATAATTTTGCTTTTTAAAAAATATTTTCAACTTCAATTTTTTATTTTTAAACTCCTACCCCCACCCATCCACCCACCGCGCAAAAAAATTAATTTTGTTTTTTTAAATTACTACAAAATTCAAATTTTTATTTTTTCACTCCTACCCCCTCCCCCACCATCACCCCAAATAAAAATTGTTTTTAAAAAACATTTTCAATTTCATAAATTATTTTCTACTCTAGTAAAAATAAAAAATGTCTCTCAAAAACATTTTTCATTCATAAATCAAACACTAAAAATCATTTTCGAAAAATATTTTTTACTCACCAACCCAACATGAAAAAATAAGTCCAAAATCTACTTGTTTTCAAAGAAAACATTTTCTAGAAAAAAAATTCCACGAAAAACATTTTCCTTCGTACCAAACACATTCTTAATATTAAAAATTATTATTATTTCAAGGGCCATCAACTGGTTAAGTCAATAGGAAATTTACGTGATTCATTTATTCAAGGTTTCACACATGTTAATATATATATATATATATATATATATATATATATATATATATATATAATTTTGCGATAAAATTAAAATTAAGAATTCGAAAAAAAATCGCATCTCAAAAGACTCTAGAAGATGTGGTGTCGGTAGCTAGCAAGAAAATGAAGTAAAAAATTATATAAAATTTTATATGTTACTTATTTTCCTAATTTTAATATTAAAATAACTTTCACGTGCGAAGTAAATCTAGTCACAAATTTATTCACATTATTATTTATATATTCAACAATAGGAATAACATATTTCTATTTTGGTAACATTATATTATTTTCTTTATGTCCATTTTGATGTAAACGTTTTACTTGTGTTTTTTTTTTTAATTTTACTTTCTTATTTTTTATTTGGAAACTTTAATTTAGATTGATAGGCTTCTATATTACTTCTTATTTTCTTTTTTTTTTATTAAAGAAATTGTTGTTGTTTTGCTACAAGTAAATATTTCTATATATTTGTGTAGTTGTTAGATCTTTGAAATCTACCGTTTTATATATGTCATGACATTAATAATATATAAGAAAATTTATTTAAAATAAAATAAAAAATTTAAAGTCAATTATTTTCAAACATATAATATTTTGTAATATTTTTTTTTGCAGCCCAATTAGGTAATAAGAAAATAATGCATATAAATTGGAAGGGTGGAAACAAAATAATAAATATATAGAAATAACAAGTGACACATAAATATATAATAGTAACAACAAAAAGTGTTTACATCAAAATATATATTTTTTTAAAAAGTGTAACTCACTAATAATTAGAATCTTAAATTATTTTATTTAAATAAGTCCATATTACAGACAAAACTTGTAATCTGAATACTCAGATTTATTTTTTTGTTAAAATAAAAGGAGAGATTTTTTTTAATGCAACTTTTGTCAAAGTAATATATTTTTATGAGCCATTGATAATGAAGAGAATATAAAAATCTATTGGCATCCTCAATTTCTAAAGAGCGCAATCCAAATTTAAATAGGATTTTCATATTATTAGATAATAATACCTTAGCCCCTAAAATAAAATTTTAATGCAAGAATTTAGATTTAATCCGAAAATAAGATTTTAATAGGTAAAATAAAATGACTTGGTGATTGGAAGAATTTATTAGTTGAATTACTCGACTATCTGAAATTTTAATAATGAGTGTTTGACTTTCCACTTTATCGTAACCCTTTTTCCTATTTTTCTCTCTCTTTTTAATATTTGGAATCCATATAAAACATGAGTCCAGATTCACGCTGAAAAGTTCCACATCGAAGACAATTCCTCTCCAATTTCTCCTTCTCCAATAATATATTGATGTCCTACAAGATATATTTGACTTGCTCACAACTTCCTTTATTTCTCACTCACTTTTCTTTTCAACCACTTTCTCTCTTTTCATCGACAAAAACAAATTCTCTTTTTTCTAATCTCACAATTATTATTACAATAATATGGGCAAAGCATCCAAATGGTTCAAAGCACTTCTTGGCTTCAAGAAAAATGAGTCTTCTATTTCTTCCACTAATAAGAAGAAATGGGGTGATGTCAAATCCTACAAAGATAAAGATTTTCAACAACATCATGAAAAATCACACTACATGAATAGTCGTGCTGGAGTGGACCTCGCGATTTATGAGGTCCACTCCAGCTTGACGACTAGTAGTGTGATCCGTACAACAACGTGGAACAGTGAGGAGTGGGCTGCCGTTGTGATACAATCATATTTTCGAGCTTATTTGGTTAGTTCTATTTACGTACTCTCTTTCTATTTCATTTTATGTGAAGATATTTGCTCGTGTGAAAAAAATAATTTGAGAGTTTTGAATTGTGTTTAATATGAGTTCTCCGGAAAAATAAATTGTTTTTATGGCAATCAAATATTAAAAATTATATTATAAGGGAATTAAACCTTCCATAGTTCATCACTATAGTTTCGATTTTAGAAAATGTTTAGATGGTGAGAGACAAACATGTTTTATCTATAAAATTAACCATTTCACTTAATATGAAAATTCAAGAAATATATATTTTTTAAAGAATTATGATCCTAAATATGTTGCAATATTTATGTGTGTGCAGTTAATTATAATTTTTTCTTAAACTTAAAAACTTAAATATATCACATATAATATTTGTGTACAGCTATAAGCCTATGTGAAATCAGGGTTAAAAAAAAACAAACAAATTAGCTATATGTTTTTTCTCCTCTGCTTAAGTTTTGATCAGTTGAGTTACTTAGTGATGTTTAGTGAGATCAACTTGGCCGATAATATAGTTGAGTTGCGCTCAAATTAACCATCGATCGATGCAAATTTATATGTATTTTTTTTGGGAATGCATGGGTTGGTGAGGTTGGCAGGGGGTGAGGGGGTGGGGTTAGCACATGCATGGTCAAATATATACAGGAAAAAGGAAAGTAGACTATTTTGGACCAGTGTGGACCAGATTGTCTAAAACTCTTGAAAAATTTGTGGTCCTAAGTGTACTTTAAAATTCTATGAAATTTTTCTAAACATTCACACTATGAGTAAGTTCAACATCACAATTTATTTATTTTTTAAAAAATTCATTAGCTCTAGTTCTTGTATTCGTCTCTGCACTATTTAATTATTCAAAAAAAAAAAACGAACGACACTTAATCATACACTCGTACTAATTTTTCATATTGTGTTTAAATTTAAAGTCAAGGAGAGCTTTACGCGCACTGAAGGGGCTTGTGAAACTACAAGCCCTAGTAAGAGGACACATTGTGAGGAAACAAGCCGCGGATATGCTAAGACGTATGCAAGCGTTGATAAGGGCTCAATCTAGAGCTCGTTTAGGACGATCTATGGTTTTTGAATCACCTCCTTTCAGCACGAAGTCTACTCAATCTATTCATCATGTCAGTAAACACATCATCTTCCTCATTTCATTTTACATTTTATATGTGACGATGATTTTTGACTGATCATGTCAGTTCATTTTGAATCCTGATATATAGGGTCCTACAACATCATCGAGATGTACTCGTTCGAGGACAGGACCATTTACGCCAACAAAGAGTAGTACACGAAGCTACACGAGTGATGAATACTCGAATAATCATCCAAATTACATGTCATACACCGAGGCAGCTAAGGCAAAAACGCGGTCTATGAGTGCACCAAGGCTAAGGTCTCAGTATGATAAGAAGTACGCAAGAAGTAACATGCAATAGGGTTCTAGTTGTTATGCTAATTTCACTAGCAAAGGTGTTTGTTCAGGTTCTGATAGAGTAGATAAGATTGGAGTGCATGTTACTGGCGATTTGGATGAATTTGGACGCGATTTTTGTCATATATATTGAGACAGATGATTCGAGTTCTTAGTTTGTAAGTTTGAGTTTCCAAGTTGCTTCATCATGCTAACATATACTTATATATATGTAGTTTTGAATGTTTAATGTCATGAACGCGCTTGAAATTGCATTTTTCGTTTGTGTTAGAAATCACTTTGTATTTTACTCCATTCACTTTTATCATCATGAGACATATGAGCTTTTTCGCGAAGAAAGTTTCATGTCTAACTATTTATATATCGATCAGAAAGAAGAAGTTGCAAATGCTATCGATGGTTCTAACATGATAAGACTAGGGTGTGTGAAGCTAGATGATATGAAGGGAATTTAATTGATTCTCATTTATCGAAAAATTATTTAGTGCATTTAGGTACAATACTTTTTCTATGCACGTATATAAAAATAAGGCATAATATATAAATGTGTCATTAACTTAGCTTCAAATCATATTTATGTCTTTCAACTTTGGATGTGCGCAAATAAACACTTAAACTTATATAAAGTTGAATAAATAGACACACATGTCCTACATGTCATTTTTTGTCCTACGTGGTGTTCTACTTGTATTGTGTCATGTAGGACTCATGTGTTTATTTATTTAAAAGTTAGATAGTTGAAGTGTCTGTTTGTGCATTACGAAAGTTGAAGGTCAAAGTTAAAAATTGAAGCCAAGTTTTGGGGTCATATATATATATATATATATATATATATATATATTATGCCTAAAAATAAATAGAACTTAATTATTTATTAGTACTTTCTTGTATGGTTTGAAGTGGGGGTAATTGGAAATATTACAATGAGTTGAATAGAAATCGGGTTGGGTCTTGACCCGCCCAAGTTTGCTTTTGGCTCAAATGGACTAAAAAATGGGTTGGGTCTTGATCCGCCCAACTTGACCCGATTAATCTAAAAAATTTAATATATTGATATTTAATTTTGTAATCAAAATTTGAATTTCCGCTCAAAAATTTTTTGTTTAAAAAGTAACAAATTGATACATAAATCCTAAAAGATGCAAAATAGATAATAATTTATACATTCAATATAGAAACATATCTTAACGGGTTAAAATAGGAGATTGAATTGGGCTCAATTGAGAATTATCTTCAAATGAGTTAAAATTGAACTCAATTCAAATTATCTTGAGTTCAACCCTTAAAATTTTGGACGAATTACGTATATTTGTGTTCATTTTTTACACCCCAAGTTTAAAATTTTGAATTTCTAGTACAAAATACATCTCAATAGTCAATGCATGTGTTAGCCTAGAGAGAAAAGAAACTAAGGTATTTAATCGTAATTTATGAGTTCAAATAAAGTCTAGCCAATTGCATGAAAAAGAACATTCCAAATAATAAATACTAAAGTTTTTCCACCCAATTGTAGATCCCAATTTCCATTAATTTGACTTATAATAACAATCCAAATTAATGGAAAAGATTTACTCCCTTCGTTCGATATTATTTATTATGATTTTTTTTGAGTCAAATTATAAAAAAATTATAAATTCATGTGAGAGGTCCTAAATTTGTGTACGATTATTTTTGGGTTGGAAACTTCTGGGCAAACATCCCCAAGGACCATCCAAGGGTCCTTGAGGAAGGACCCATGTTGGTGGCCAAGACTACTCAAGACAGCCCAACCTACCGAGGCAATCGATGCCCCATAGGTGGGGATTCGTCGCTGCATACTTAGGCGTGAGGAAGGAGGGGCCAAAGAACCTCATTCCCCAAACGCGGACCAAAAGAACAGCCTGTTGGTCAAGGGACGAGCCGTCGATGGTACAATTTTTCCTGCGCAGTCACTATAAGTTCAAGGGTGAATTGATAAATTCACCCCACGTACAAATAAGACTTTGATCAGTTCCTAAAGGGTATTTTGGGTATTTTAGATGTGTTTATAAATCTTTGACACCAGAAAATTTCATTCTTCCAAATCAAAATCCAAAGTCCCTTAGAAATTCCCTAGAACTCTATTGGAGCCAAAATTCAAGGAAGGGATTGGATTGGAGAATTGAATGGAGATTCTTCATCAAATTTAAGAATTAGATCCGTTGAGGTATGGTTTTTGATCCTTAAAACTCTATTCATCAAGTAGCCCAACTTTCAAAGAATTTTCTGAAGTTTTCAAAGATGACTGGTCCAATTTTATGATCTATACATGGGTTATTGCATTAAAGGTTTTTAAGCATTATATATTGATTAAAATGTTCTTAATTAGATGATTTTAACTCAATTAACCTATGAACCCATGTAATTGATGAACCCTAGTTTTTGACTACTTTATGGGTTGACTAAATGCTTATGAATTCTAGTGTAGTTTTCTATGGGCTAATGAATGATGTAATAATTGTATTCAATTGATGTATAGATTGTGTTATATTGATGAATCTATATTTAATTGACCTAGTTTCATTGAGTATGATGGTTTTTATATTGAATTGATGTTCATGACCATGGGTAAGGGCCTTATGGTATTGAATTGGATAATTTAGCATCGGATTGAGGTGTTGAGGATGGAGTGGTGGTATTCTACCCTAATTCCCTTTATTTCAATATATTTGTGTAGTTGTTAGATCTTTGAAATCTACCGTTTTATATATGTCATGACATTAATAATATATAAGAAAATTTATTTAAAATAAAATAAAAAATTTAAAGTCATTTATTTTCAAACATAAAATATTTTGTAATATTTTTTTTGCAGCCTGATTAGGTAATTAGAAAATAATGCAAATAAATTGGAAGGGATGGAAACACCATATATCTCTCTTTATTAGAAGTGACACTTGAGGAGTACGAACACTGCTATATGTAGTTGTACTAAGGGCCCGTTTGGCCATAAATTTTCCAAATAATATTTGGGAAAAATTTGGCAAATAATGTTTGTCCATATAATTTGCCATTATTTGCCAATTATTTTTGACAAATATCCCAAATTTCCAAATACTAGTTTTTTCTAGTATTTGGGCCAAATCTCATTATTTGGGATCTTTTAAAAATTAAAATTTTACCCCAATCTTTTATCTTTTACAAAAACACCCTCTCTAGTAGTTGCTTGCGTTGTATTACATCATTTTTTACGTGAACACCAAAATAGTGATGAAATATGTAGTGAATATTAAATAATGATATGATTGTTGATGAAAATTATTAACAATTGGCTTTAGGTAACAAAGTCATGTACTTTGTCTACTTCACGATGTATGGAATAATTCTTGTTGCACTCACTTCAAATTACCACACTGCTTTAGTGTCATGGACATTATTTGTTATTGTTGTAACGAACATTCATTGACTTGTAATACAAACTCTTAGTTAATTTTGATTGTTTTTAAAACTTGTGTGTATAAATCATATTTTTCTAATAAGGTGAAATATATTTCCCAAATTTTATGGCCAAACACATGGTGAAATTTCACCCAAATTTTCACTCAAATAATATTTGCCAAGAATATTTGGAAATCTATGGCCAAACGCTAGCTAAAACTAGCAAAATGTGTACAATAAATTAGGCCTATTTTGAGTTCAATGCCCACGTGTATGTATTTTAGGTCAATGACCTCCAAGTTTTCTTTTTTTGACAGACATGTAAGAAACAACTGATTTCTTTTTTATCTCTCTTTTCTCTGTAAAATTGATGCATTTCTTCCTCCAAATTAGTCTTGGTCGAAGAGTTGTAGGCATTTTCTTTTTTTTTCTTTTTATTTTTCTGAAAATTTTTAGCAACTAGCAGTTGCATTGGCATTTGGCAAGGCTATCCAATAGAGCCTCTCTCACCGGAAAATGAGTACCACGAAATTATTCAAAATTCCCAACTTTTCTGGAACAAGCTTCAACAATACTCCACATCACTGCCTACCAATTTCAAGTTAGTCCAATTTTCTCTCTTTCTTTCCATTTTATGACTTCAAAATGTATTTGGAACAGTTTACTCCGTGCAAGTATTTGAGGTATAAAATAATAGGGTAATAGTGTGTAAAACCTTTGCATACAAGACAAGTAAATTTTAACTTACATGTAATTGTACTCGATTTGCTTCGATGATTTTACTTTGTTATCATCTAATTAGTGTCTAACTAAATTATCTTGCTCAAAATTTAAGGTGGCAAATTGAAATGTAAAATTGAATCGTCCAGATTATGCACTTAAGGTGCTTGATGATATGTCCGATTATCTTATTATAAATAGTCTTTGTCTTTTTAGATTTTAGCAGAGAAATATCAAGGACAGCTGATGATCGTGCTTGAGTCTGAGGTCAACTACCATTGAAGATTTGAATTATCTTATTGCTAATGCAAGGTATCAGTTTCTGCTACAGTTCTGTTTTGTTATGTCTGCGTGAAAACATGTAAAGTACCAACACAGTTCATGTGAATTTGTTAAGGAACACTTTTTTCAGTTCAAGTATGTTTTTAAATATGTTGCAATTCATTCTAAGAGGGTCTGGAAACAAAAGAAGATTGTGTAAAATGATATTCGACAGAGAAAGGAATAGGAATAACAACATTAAGCTTCTTGAAAGTTTAAACAAATCTAAATAGCACGTGAAATCTAATAAGTAAATATCGAGCAAGTGTTTACATCATATTCTTCTGTGAATTGTCTTAGCAGGGGTAGCTCGACAGTTTTAAAAAAACACATGTGCCTTAGGACCCCAAATTTGAAGGGGGCTCATTTTAAATAGTAATAGGTTATAGGTTTTTTTTTTTAACAAATATTAAATATTATTTGTAGAAAAAGTAAACTTTTCATGAAAATGAAGGAATCATTAGAAGAAAATTGACATATTTGGAGTACTGCACATCATGAAAAATAATTTAAAATAAAAATGATTATACTATCAGTTGAAAATTAGAAGAAATCGTTTATATAAAAGTTCTTAACAATTCAAGTTTAAGGCCCCATTTGATTTTTGCTTTGCCACTAATATGCTTGAGCCGCTCTTGTGTTTTAGCTATTATGGTGGTGTACATATGTCAGGGTCAACCACATGCATATTCTATATAATTTACACTGCAATATTAATTTATGTAGATTGTTAAATATCTTTTAAGATGCAGTGTTGATATTTTTACCTATTTCATAGGATACTACAAGAATTATCCCATCATGTAATATGCAGTTTTGACTTTACATCTTGCAGTATTCTATAAAAGTTGCAGGTCCGCTGTGTGATGTTTTTTATATTATGATGTGTGATTCTATAAAAATTCTCTGTGTGTGTTGCTTCGTATTATTATTAAGTACCTATTCAAAGGTAGCTGGTGGATGTGAACCTGAATATAACTACAGCCTGCATTCTGTCAATATGACAAAAATGTGTAGAGAGATTAATTTGATTCATTCATCAACCCAAATTCTGACTCGAAGTGAGACCCTAAAATAATAAAGTAGGACGTAGCTATGTGGACATGTGTAATCTGGATGGTCAATGAACCAATATCATATGAGGAGTAAAGTTGGTTTTCATAGTTCTTATTGGTCAAAGCAACGCATGGCCATTTCACACATGACTTGAGTACGCAGGAAGCTGTCTGAAAATTCTCAATTGTCTCTCCATCTTATTTTTGTTCTGCTTGCTAGACAAAAGTATATGTGGGTATCTTTCATGCTCAGTACAGAATCGGTAAGAAATTAAATAAATATAAATATTGTACACAATTGTATGTTCAAAACATTACAATGCCCATAACAAGGAAAAATGGAATTGGACTGAAAAGGCCTAAACTTGAGAAAGAAGGAAAAAGAACATACATGACACTACCGTAATAGGACTTGCCGCACTTCTTGAAACGAAAATACCAAGACTATGACTGCATCACCTTATGTTGTTCAACACATGTAGGTGCCTTGGATGCTTGACACTTCCACATTGGCCTCTCAAGCGGAAAAATGGGATTATTACGTGTAGTACCTTTGCTAATGTTCTCATCGAATGATGATGAACTATTCGATTTCAAATCCTCTTTAGGGCTTGGTTGATCCCTGAAGCTACAAACGTTAAGTGATAACTTTTTCTGCTTAAGCCCTCCTTTTTTTTTTTCTCAATACAGTAACTATCATTTACAGAAGCCCCAACTTTCTCCTCTGGGATAAGTGATTCTCATTCCTTTAATCCGTATTTACATAGTCAGCTACTAGAGTGTGATGCTTCCCCGTTTTTCATATGTGTGTGGTCAGATTTACTGAATTTTCTGTTTAAATCTACTCTAAGAAAAGTCCTGCACTCTCCAAAAATATTATTGCATCTTTGTTGGATCCTCCAAGAATGTACTATTTTTGAAGGATCTGACACACACCCAATAACATTTTTTAAGAGTCCGAGCAACATGGATTTTACCCATCATAAATAAAAGCTAATGAAGATTCCCATCATACTGCCACATTGGTGTTAAATATTGATCTTGATATATTACATGCTGAATTGTAAGACTCCATAAGAGAAAAACATGTGAGACAATCATTATAATTGGAACACCTTCAATGGTGGTAGTTGGTCATGTTATGACACTTCATGGTCGCGTTGCCTCAATATTAATTGAGCTTGGTTTGTTAATTAGGAGTATGTGAAGAGGTTCTGCAGGAGCAGAAACAAGTCCAAGAAAGAGACTATTATGAAGCGCACCTAGAAATATGAGGTTGATGAATAAAGAAGATATTTATTCACAGTTGAAGAAACTGAACAAGTATGCTTGTGTCATTCATGTGTTGGTTCAAGATTGTTTTTGGCTGACACATTACAGTAGATTGGCTTTTGATTTATAAAAACAAAAACATCCCTGCTTGACTGGGTGGTACCTTCTTTCTACAAAGTTTGTCTTGAAGATGAGGTTGTAATGTTCATTAATCTTCCTTCTTCGATTGATTTATTTTTATGTGAAATATTTCTTGATGAGAAGATATTTGTAAATCTACAGTTGACAGACTAATCAGGATATAGAAAAGAATGCATAGCTTTACCGGGTTGAAGAAAAATGAATAAGATCGGTAAAATTTCCAACTTGACTGAATGAGACTTCGACTGCACAACTTCACTTAACTTTCATGTTGTCTGTTGGAGAAGAGAGAATATTATTCAAAAATAAATGTAAGTTGTATTTTTAAGTCTTTCAAGTACATTCCAAATTATTTTTTGCACCTTTTAAATTTTGTGTCCCTGTAACACATTTTCTGTGGAAAAAGAATTGTCGAATTGTAGTTTGTATATTAATAATGACTGCTGACTGATTTTCTGTGTTAATTGAGCTCCTCTAAAGGTCCCTAAGAGAACACGAGTATACTTCTACTATGAGAAGACTGTTTAAATTGTTTTTATTTGTTGCTTATTTTATTTTATTTTTTTTGTATAGAACATACAAAGTTTATTATGTTTGTGCAGTTTATTCGTCATGATTGAGAAGGAACTTATAGCACATAAATGGTTATGAGATGAAGATGAAAGCAAAAGTTAATAGCATGATATATGCTATTTGATCTTTTATGATTTTGTAATTTGTGTTTGATTGTTTCTTCTAGCTTGCTTTTGCAAGAGTTTCTTAATGGTTTGCTATTTGTCTTATGATATATGACTTATTTATCACGTTATTACGAATTAATTTTTTATCAGCTATGTCATCTCCATATTCCCTTTATAGGTTGTGATTGCATACACAATTTTTCTTCATGTTTCATCCATAGGGAAGATCCAATCGTTACTAGATCAAAAGCTGATTTCTCGGGTAGTAGGTGAATTTGATTCCGCGGGGCTGCTTTCATTTGGCGTTTTCTTCCTTTTGTGTAAAGAGATGAAATAATGTACTGTTTGTCTTGAACTTGATTGTCTAAGTCAAATTTATTAGCCATTATTGGTGTAGTTTTGTTTTGGATATATGCAATGCCTATATTACTTGGGAAGACATTCTCCCGTGTAAAATAAGTACTTATACGACCTATTTTTACATTAAAGTAGTTATGTCTTTATGTTTTCTTTTTGACAACTTTACATCAAATAACTGCAAAACAAAAATTACTTTAGAATATCAAATATTGGGCCCGTGTTCGGCACGGGCCATACTTCTCTAGTGTGTGTGTGTGTATATATATATATATATATATGTATATGACTAATAATAAATATATAGAAATAACAAGTGACACATAAATATATAGTAGTAACAACAAAAAGCGTTTACATCAAAATATATATTTGTTAAAAAGTGACTCACTAATATATAGAATCTTAAATTATTTTTATTTCAATATATCCATATTACAGACAAAACTTGTAATCTGAATACTCAGATTTTTTAATTTTTTTTTGTTAAAATAAAAGGAGAGAATTTTTAATGCAACTTTTGTCAAAGTAATATATTTTTATGAGCCATTGATAATGAAGAGAATATAAAAATTTATTGGCATCCTCGATTTCTAAAAAGCGTAATCCAAATTTAAATAGAATTTTCATATCAATTTTAGATATCGAATAAAAAATTAAAAAATGAGTGAGCTTGAGTTCGTAAATAGAAGTCTTTTAAGTTTGAATGTTAGATGTTAAGTTGTCTTTATTAGATAATAATACCTTAGCCCCTTTAAATAAAATTTTAATACAAGAATTTAGATTTAATCCGAAAATGAGATCTTAATAGGGAAAATAAAATGACTTAGTGATTGGAAGAATTTATTAGTTGAATTACTCGGCTATCTGAAATACTTTTATTTTAATAATGAGTGTTTGACTTTCCACTTTATCGTAATCCTTTTTCCTATTTTTCTCTCTCTTTTTAATATTCGAAATCCATATAAAACCTGAGTCCAAATTCACGCTGAAAAGTCCCACATCGAAAACAATTCCTCTCCAATTTCTCCTTCTCCAATAATATATTGATGTCCTACAAGATATATTTGACTTGCTCACAACTTCCTTTATTTCTCACTCACTTTTCTTTTCAACCACTTTCTCTCTTCTCATTGACAAAAACAAATTCTTTTTTTTTCTAATCAAACAATTATTATTACAATAATATGGGCAAAGCATCCAAATGGTTTAAAGCACTTCTTGGCTTCAAGAAAAATGACTCTTCTATTTCTTCCACTAATAAGAAGAAACGGGGTGATGTCAAATCCTACAAAGATAAAGATTTTCAACAACATCACGAAAAATCACACTACATGAATAGTAGTGCTGGAGTGGACCCCGCGATTTATGAGGTCCACTCCAGCTTGACGACTAGTAGTGTGATCCGTGCAACGATGTGGAGCGGCGAGGAGTGGGCTGCCGTTGTGATACAATCACATTTTCGAGCTCATCTGGTTAGTTCTATTATACGTATTCTCTGTCTGTTTTATTTTATGTGCAGGTATTTACTCGTGTGAAAAAAATAATCTGAGAGTTTTGAATTGTGTTTAATATGAGTTCTTCGGAAAAATAAGTTGTTTTTATGGCAATTAAATATTAAAAATTGTATTAGAAGGGAATTAAACCTTCTATAGTTGAGAGTTTTTTTTTGGGGGGGGGGGGGTTGGGGGTGGGAAGAACCGGTTCCCAATATACGCTCTAGTTGAGAAATTGAGTCACCCTAAACTTTTTTTGGATATAAAGTTACGTACCTACGTTGAATAAAGAATACAATATACTCCATGTGAAATCAGGGTTCAAAAAAAAACTAAAACAAACAAATTAGCTATATGTTTTTTCTCCTCTGCTTAAGTTTTGATCAGTTGAGTTACTTAGTGATGTTTAATGAGATCAACTTGGTCGATAAATAGTTGAGTTGCGCTCAAATTAACCATCGATCGATGCAAATTTATATATATTTTTTTTGGGAATGCATGGGTTGGTGAGGTCGGCAATGGGGTGGGGTGTTAGCACATGCATGGTCAAATATTTACAGGAAAAAGGGAAGTAGACTATTTTGGACCAGATTGTCTAAAACTCTGAAAAATTTGTGGTCCTAAGTGTACTTTAAAATTCTATGAAATTTTTCTATACATTCACACTATGAGTAAGTTCAACATCACAATTTATTTTATTTTTAAAAAAATTCACTAGCTCTAGTTCTTGTATTCGTCTTTGCACCATTTAATTATTTTAAAAAAAAATACGAACGACACTTGATCATACATTCGTACTAATTTTCCATATTGTGTTTAAATTTAAAGTCAAGGAGAGCTTTACGCGCACTGAAGGGGCTTGTGAAATTTCAAGCCCTAGCAAGAGGACACATTGTAAGGAAACAAGCCGCGGATATGCTAAGACGTATGCAAGCGTTGATAAGGGCTCAATCTAGAGCTCGTTTAGGACGATCTATGGTTTTTGAATCACCTCCTTTCAACGCGAAGTCTACTCAATCTATTCATCATGTAAGTAAACACATCATCTTCCTCATTTCATTTTACTTTTTATATGTGACGATAATGTTTGACTGATCATGTCAGTTCATTTTGAATCCATATATATAGGGTCCTACAACATCATCGAGATGTACTCGTTCTAGGACAGGACCATTTACGCCAACAAAGAGTAGTACACGAAGCTACACGAGTGATGAATACTCGAATAATCATCCAAATTACATGTCATACACCGAGGCAGCTAAGGCAAAAACGCGGTCTATGAGTGCACCAAGGCTAAGGTCTCAGTATGATAAGAAGTAACATGCAAAAGGGTTCTAGTTGTTATGCTAATTTCACTAGCAAAGGGGTTTGTTCAGGTTCTGATAGAGTAGATAAGATTGGAGTGCATGTTAGTGGAGATTTGGATGAATTTGGACGCGGTTTTTGTCATATATATTGAGACAGATGATTCGATTTCTTAGTTTGTAAGTTTGAGTTTCCAAATTGTTTCATCATGCTAACATATACTTATATATATGTAGTTTTGAATGTTTAATGTCATGAACGCGCTTGAACCTACATTTTTCATTTGTGTTAGAAATCATTTTGTATTTTATTCCATTCACTTTTATCATCGTGAGACATATGAGCTTTTTCGCGAAGAAAGTTTCATGTCTAACTATTTATATATCGATCAGAAAGAATAAGTTGCAAATGCTATCGATGGTTCTAACATGATTAGACTGGGGTGTGTGAAGCTAGATGATATGAAGGGAATTTAATTGATTCTCATTTATCGAAAACTTATTTAGTGCATTTAGGTACAATACTTTTTCTATGCACGTATATAAAAATAAGGCATAATATATAAATGTGTCATGAGAGAACCAGACAAGCAGACGAGTACGACAACGGATTAATACCCCCTCCCCCTCTTACTACATTTGAAGATTCTGAAAAGGAGAGTGAGTATGGTTACGTCAGAAAGGTAGTACTATTTTCATTTGAGATTCAATTTGATTGGAGTATGAGCTTTTACTAACGTCGTTCCAATTTATGTGACACTTTGAAAGTAAAAAATTAGAGTTAAAGCTCATTTATGTGACAATTTCTGAGCTTTCTGATAAATCGGACCAAACTGATTTACTAATGGGATGCCCTAACTTAGATGTTGATGACGAGATTCCACTAAAGCATTAAAAGATGACAAACTTTTAAGTATGGTTCGAAATTTTGAATTTCTAGTACTACAATATATAGCAGCAAGAATTGAAAAAAAGAAATAATACATAGATAATTTCTTAAATTTATTAATAAATATTTTAAATATTGAAACTTTAGCATATTCAATTGTGCATTCAATTACATAAATAATAAAAGTGTCATTATTAGACACTTTTAATTCAAATTTATTAAAAATATTTTTCATTTATGTTTTTAAAGCGTCTATTACATAGACAAATAAACTACTTAAAATATATCAACTCTTTTAACTATACACCTTAGCTTCAATAATCTAACGAACTACTTAACATACCTATAATAGAATTGTTACAATTATTTTTTAATAAACAAAAAATATTATATTATGTCTTTCTTTTAGTTCATGTCGAAACATTAAAGAATATTTCTTTTATGTTTATCAATTTTTAAATTTAACTCCCACATAATATATTTAAGATCATAAGATTAAAAATATTTTGATATATATATATATAGACAAAGAGTTTAAGACCATAGAAAAGTAAAAAAATTTATCAAAAAATAACTTTTGGATCTCAAAATAAAAAAATAAAATGGGAAAGCAAGTGAAGTTTGAAAACCTATTCCATTATACAGAAAATGAGGGTTTAGAGTTTATTTTTCAAAAAATATCCTAGAATAGTTGTTTGATGTTTTTAAGGGAATGATTAAAAATGAGTTACATGATATGGATCTTGGATCTTGTTAGATGGAGCTGAATATTTCAAAACCTAAATGGATTCATACACTATTACACTCTCCTCTAATGTGTGTATTACTTTGTTGAAATATTGTTATATTTTACCCTAATATATGTATTTTACTTTGTTGAAATAGTATCTTAATTCCTTTATTGAAATAGTGTTACATTCTTCATTAGTGTGTATGTAGTTCTTTGTTTAAATAGAATATGATAAATTTATAAGTTGTTAATTATTGAGACTTATAATACTTTTTACTTTATTGTCAAATAATATATGTCATTTACTCTAATTCATTTTATGTATCACTCATAGAATTTTGAAAGTCAAATAATTTTTTATATTATTTTTAAATATTTTAACTTATCAATTATTGTAACTAAAAGTTTTATTACTGTAATTTTTAAATATATAACAAGTTAAAAAGAAAATGTAAAACAAAATTAAAAGGAAAAAAGTGCAGAATTAATGGTCAATTTAATGTGATGCAAATGAAATTTGAAGAAGCAGCCAAGTCGTGTTGTATATTTTATTTTATTTTTTAATAAGTTGTTAATCAATTATTATGACTTATAGTACTATTGTATTTTTAACATTATTTTTATAAATAACATACGTTTCTTCTTTATTCCAAATTTATGTGGCAAAATAGAATTTAAAGAGTTAATCACTTTTTATATAATTTTTCAATATTTGAACTAAGCGAAATAG